AAAAACATCGACATGTTACAATGAAAGAAGAGTATAATTGAATAAAATTACTCACCATGTAAGTATCATGATAACCTTCATCTGTGTCAGGCTCCCCGGTTGTAGGGTCACAATCCTTGACGACAAACTTGAGAGTAGCACCAAAAGTGCCTAAAAATTGAAACACAAAAACGTTGGTGTTATTTCAATTGCTGTTATTTAAGTTGCCTCTTTCTATGCTCATCTTGTTATTTTGTTTTTTTACCCATCTGTAATAGGATTTTAAATCGGTGAAAAGTGTAAATGAATATAGAAAGAAAGGGGGAGAAAATGAGGAAAAATGCCAGTGGATCAGTAGAATCAAATAAGACACAACAGACTGCATATTGATAAAAACCACAATGAGAAAAATTTGCCACCATATAAGAAAAAACCAGGGTTTCCACAATAGGCGACCATTGCACCAAAGTGTGTAGACTTTGGATTCATGTTAAGTATGAAATTACCCAGAACATAAAACGCTAATTTCTTAATCGAGCTAGACTACATCAAGCAATTAGGTACTACAGTTATTGGCTTGGTTTAGAAACACCGTAAAAACCATTAATTTCTCTACGCAAATAAGTGTTTTTACGGATGAGCCCAAAGTTGAAGTTTCTAGTTGCAAAATGTTGTCCAATAATGAATCGATTGAAAGTGAAAGTTTTCAGTGTACCCACTGCTTTTACACAAAATTTACAAGAAAGAATGTGTATTTCTGATGATTGATCGCCTGTCCTGCACAGTGCAGCTTATTTCAGTCACATTGGAAAATCTAGTGGCATGTGTTGGCAATTGGTTCCATCCATGAAAATAATCAGTTGTCTAAAATATAAGTCAATTTGAAGCATGCTTAGATAACCTGCAAAGCAATCGAAATTTTAGAAAAATTACATTAGTTTAAATGACCCCCTAACTACCCCCACCAATGAGTCTTGAGTGTAATTTTCTCTTCTTAAGGAATATATAAGTTTTTTAACGTTTGGGCTCATATTAAATCCAAAAGACCAATTTCTGCAGATCAGCCTGTTTCTTCCCTATTGAACCAATGTAATTTTTTCTGGAATTTTAAATCCCTTTGACGGTTCACTAAAAATGCTTCAAATTGGCTCAAATTTAAGATGATCAATTATTTTTATGAATGGGACCAATTCCTGCCTGATGCAACTTGATTTTCCAACATGACTAGAATAAACCACGTCTTCTTGTCTCATGGTACATTTACATAAATGGTCCTTCATCGGTTGACAGGAACTTATGAATAACCTTATGACATTGATGGGCCACTGCTTTTAAACCTGAGGACTTTTTGAACATGGTTTGAAAATTGAGGATCCTTGTGTTGTTTCATTTTTTAATTATACTTACTGACTGATAAGGAGAGATCCTCTGGAAACTTGAGTAGTACATAAACCGAACCAGTTTCACCGCAGGATAATTTTGGGCAAGCGACTTCTTTCAGAATCTCATAGCCTTCCGGTTCCTCTAATGTAACTCCAATTGATTCAAGTAGGGTATCGCTCAATGTATTTAGGATGTTGAACTGAAAAAGAAATAAATCAGTGAGTTCACATTTTTTTTTTAGAAAACATGATTTACAGAAAAAATTAAAGAAAATGAATAATTAGTGGCACTAATTCATCTGATCATTAATTTTACACTTGTTTATATTGTTTTATTTAGATAAGCCTTCAGTTTGAATTTCCTTTAACTTCTGTTTCAATGTTTAGCAATTTTGAATTTGTTAATTGCTTTACAGTAAAATTTTTTTAGAGGTTACTTAATTCTTTCATTAGTTTAAGAAAAAAGATTACTCAATTGTACACTTAGATTAAAAACAAAATTCTGCAAAAAAAGACATACAAAGCGAAGAGAAATGTTAAAAAATTAAGTTACCTGAAGAATTAAGTGGTCACTGAAGCAGTGTTTTATACATTTAACGACATACTCTGTCTCTGATTCAGTCAATTGAACAGGGTCTGAGGAACGGAATAAAGAGCCAGGCAAGGGAGCTAACTCTGGAATACTGGCTAATTTCACGGCATATGATTCGGCTGCTGAAGAAGCAAAGGAAAAATTAAAATAAGGAAGAAGAGTATATGAGTTAATGAGGAGGAAAAATTCATCAAAATAAGTTACGTACTTTTAAGACAGAAGAATAATCATCAAAAAGAAAAAATCAATTTGCAATATTTAAAATTACAGAAAACAAATAACTCTGAGTTATGGGCCCATTCTACAAAATACGATGCAGTAGCTGACAATGAGGTGAAATGGTTAGTTACTGAAAACTTACACAAAGAGTAAGAAATAAAAACGATGCGAAAATGAATTTAAATACTGCAATTTTTTTTTTTTTTTTTTTTTTTTTTTATACATTCATTTTTTTCCTGGTACCATTATAGCTGTGTTAATCATAATTGAACTTTTCAGTTGGAGAACGACACATCTCGGAAAAATGAAATTTTTCAGGAGATGATAAAAACAGTGTAACCGCCAGAAAAGGAGTGTTTCTTGGCAAAGAAATGAGCATTGTAAAAACCCTGAGTTGGGTCCCTTACAAACTGAGAGATTCAATTCAAGGAAGGCACAAAGTCAAAGGAAAAATGATCATTTTTACAAAAAAAAAAATAAAGAATCATCAAAAGAAGCTCAGTCCTTAAGCGTACGGACACTAATAATAAACTGAAACAAACGAAAACTAAACGGACCAAAACAAACGGTAAATCGAGGAAACAAACTGTGAGCTAAATAATGAAATAAAGAAAGCCAAAACTAAAAAACTCTAATTCACAAAAATAAATTATAAGTGACATAATATAATAAATCCACAGTTCCATTATAAACGCATTTAAGAGGGTCAAAAAATTCAATTTTCCACCCTGCTTTTTCCAACATTATCATACAGAAAGATAACTTTAAAATCTCACCAAATTTTAATCTCTCATGGTCTGGAGGCCACAAAGAAATTCATTTAAAATAATACCAAACTTTGACTGGTGCCGAAGTTCTTTGCACACAGTCCTTCGAGTTCTCAAACAACTGATGAAAACACCAGTAACATAAATCAGCATACCTTTAGCAGGAGTTTCTGGTTGAACAGCGACTGGATTAGCAATGTCTACGGTACCGTGACCCTTTTCTGGCACATTTGTAGGCTCTGGCGCTGATACAGGAACGGTGGAAATATCAAATTGTTCTGGGGTAGGATTCGCAACGTACTGAGTGAGAGCTCTCTCTAGGCTAGGAATAGATACCTGTAAAGAAGGAGGACATGATAATATCAGCCACATGCATGAAGATTTTAAAAAAAAAAAATACCTCTTTTCTGCAAAAATTTTCAGATAAGTAAGCATTCACAACAAAAAGAAAAGAAAAATATATAATATGATGGAGTTTTTTTTAGCCAATGTGCGTTAAAAATTCAGCATAAAGCTGAAAATCTCAATACAGAGGGAAAAAGCTCATATGAGCACTATTTACCCTCAAAGAGATAAGCTGTTTGGTGCAACACTAGTTATGACCATTCAGGAAGGAAACTGCAGACGCGTTTCAGCCTTGTTGGGCCAATCCTCAGTGCAGCGCAGCCTCCTGAATTTCCTGCTACAAAGCTCGGAGAGGTCGTGACAACCAGCCTGAGACTTGGGCAAGAGGTTGCTGGCACAAGTAAACATGCGCCATCTAGTGAGCAATTATCCAAACAGCTAAACTGATTGCGGTGGACGCACAGGTTGGAGTTTTTATAGCCAACAAGCATTAAAAATTCAGCATAAAGCTGAAAATCTCAATACAGAATGGTCGTAACTAGTGTTGCACCAAACAGCATATCTCTTTGAGAGAAAATTGTTCTCATATGAGCTTTTTCTCTCTGTATTTGAAATTTTCAGCTTTATGCTGAATTTAAATGCACGTTGGCTAAAAAAACTCCAACATACTATCTTACAACCTGTGCATCCACCGCAATCGGTTTAAGGAAAAATATAAACTAGTAAATGACAAGTTGATCGTATCATTGTTTGATAGAATCTTACAATGACAAGACATTCATTAATTACTAGAGCTGTGCAATTAATTGAATGTTTATTGTAATTGCAACTGGTTTTTTGAAATTATCATTACGGTACAGTTGAAAAATCAATCATAATTAAATTGACTTTTCAAAAACCAGAGGCATCAGATTACTTGACTAATGTTTTATTGATAGGATTTAGACAAATACTGATGTTCAACATATAACTCACTACTTGGACAGACTCAAAATAAAATGCGGAGCCATCACTTAGCTCATCACAAATCGAATCAAATGAAAACAAGAAAATACCCCTTTAGCTTTACAGCAGCGACTGGAGACTTTTTCCTGAAAATCAAAATAGATGCTGCATTTTCGAGTTCCCGGTATTGAGAGAGGACGAATGAAAACTTGTATACCTGGAGGTGATCGACAATGTAATGATAAATGAACTGCGGCTGGTCTCCACTGAGAATATGGTAGTAAAAAGTAGCCCTGTCTCTTGTCTCGTCGTCGCAATCCATCTGACACCTGGCCAGGAGAACCAGAATATTCGGCAATAAGTCCGGGCAAGATGCACCAAATTGAGCCATTGCAGCAACAGCCGCACAGCGAACGACAGCACTCTCTAGAATCACTCGGTTGTAAATGAAGCGGATGTATCTAAAAAAGAGAAACTAAATGTTACTCCTAATGAAACAGGTTATTTCTTCTTATGGTAATACATTACTGAGGTATCAGAGAAATTAGAATAAACTACAATGGATTTTTTCAAACAAATTCCGCCCTTTTTTGAAATTTCTTGAAGAAATTCTCCAAGACTTTCTTCCAAAAATATTACTCATAGTCTACGACTGAAAAAAGACTGCTGAAGAGCGGAGTCGGTGACTTGCCTATGGTATTGTTTAAGGTTTAAATAAACTAAATTTTGCAGCAAGGAACTATAATTTTTGGCTCGTTCTAGAAAAAACGTATGTGCCATTAGTTTCTTTATGCAGATAGGTGCATTCACAGATGAGTCAAAAATTTAAGTAGCTGATTGCAAAATGATCTCCAAATCTCAGTTACATCCGCTCATTCATACACCAAAGCTAATGGACCCATAAAAAATAGACCAAGTCACTTCTTCGACTGCATCACATTTTGTGTTTTCGACTTTAGTTTTGATTGGAAAAAGATCACATCAGGAAGAGAGGAGAAATTTTCAAACATTGCAATAGAGATGAAAAAAATAAATTTTACTTCTGCCTACAAAATTTAATTCAAGTTCATAGAAATGTGACACGTTTTGAATTAAAAGAAACAACAAACCTGGAGGGTTGTTTTGTACGAGGCCCTTCCTTTCCTAATAAGTGTAAAATGCGGACAGCAAGGCTGGTATGTTCACAGTCCTCTATGAACTCACATAAATGGGCTAAACCTGGACACAAATGAATGACAAACCAATGAGCTAGAAGTAAGTGTAATGAAACATTATACAAACAGAGAAATAAACATGCTTCAAAGCCAATAGAATTAGAATAATTTTGAAACTTGGCCAAGAAATTCGTAAAAAATATCAAAAATATACAGACTCTTCTTTTTTCTAATGAAAAACCAGTAAATTATGATACAGAGTAAATTCAAACTTTTTGCTTGCAAAAAAACCAAGATCAACGCAGGTTAAACCAACCTTAAAACCAACTTTTATTTTAGGCGAAAAAACCAGAACCTGGTTTCACAGACGTTTGCTGCCTTCTCTGATACAGGGCACCACTAATCTTGTTGAAAAAATCACCGCACAGAATAATTCTTCAATTGTAAAATATGCTGAAATCAGCTTATGTTTTTTGTGAGCGAAAAATGCGAATTGACATACACAAAAAAAGGCTACTTCCTCAGTTTTCAGTCAAATTTAGAAAGCTTCATTGTGTCCATTGTAATCTGGGTAAAATTTCAAAAAGGAGATGTATTTCAGTGTTTAATTTCATACCTTATCTAGTTGTTTACAGAACGTTTAATTGAATTCTTTGAATGTTTGGCTTCAAGCTACAAAGCAATGAGTAACACAAACAAATTGCTCCATTGTGAATGTCAACTGGTGACATCTTTTTTAAACATTACCTGTTTCTTTGGCATCGGGATTTTCTTCTATGATAGATATTATTGTGTCTGCAATTGAAGCTTTATATTCTAAACCTCCTTCATCACGTAACATAGCTGATAAGAAATTCATCAACACACCATGCTTCCTCGGAAACTTCAGACAAAGAGCTCTTATTGCCTGAAAGGAGATTAAATAGTAGACATTAATTTACACACACGATAAAACAAAGGCATTCAGTGCCCTGATGAACTTCTGTGGTAAGAGTATGATCATTAAAGGTGGTCGCCTAAAAGAATCCCGGATAAAAATATAGACTGATATGGAGAAATATGCAGAAATATGCAAGAACAAGAAAACCATTAGGAATTTTAAGAAGATCGTCCAGAAAGTAAGTTCGCCTGTTCAATATCTCCTGAACTACGATAGGTAGAGAAAATCTGTAAAAAGCGTTAAAAAGCCACTACTCTAAGCTCCCTAACGGGCTATACATTTTTAAATTTGACTTGATAGAACTCTAGAAAAGTGAATTTTTCTGAACCCACCTCTCCACACAGGTCCAAAATTTTAAGAGGCTTCATTCGCAAGTGAGCCGCTGTGTCTATCGCTCATGGCCAAAAAGTGGTTTAGAGGTGATCGAAACACATGTAAAACATAAGTACAGCCATTTTCCAACAAGGAAATAGGAGGATTGACCGTGTTTACTTAGATTATTGGTGGGTTTGGGCTGCAGTACATGGAAATGTTAAGCAACATAATAGTCAATTCGTGGAATTGTAACGCTGAATTTGGTTTCGGTGTCTGAATTGAGCTCCATTATTCGTTCTTTTGCCAAGAAAGGTGACCCTTGCTGCTCAAATTCAGGTTCATTTATGGTAAAAGAGTTGTAAAAGCTGCATATTTTTCTGAATCATACATTTTTGACGAAATTTCTTTGAGAATTGGCAGGATAACTTAATTCTTATGAAGGTTTCACTTAGCTGATGAGAATTAACGTTGACAATTTTATAAACTTTTGCTCGGATGCAACTGATTTTGGGGTAAAAACTGTCAATCCTGCTGTACTCTTGTTGAAAAGTGACCTTACTTATGTTTTACAAGTATTTCAACCACCTCTAAGCCACTTTTTTGCCATGAGCGATAGACAAAGTGGCTCACTTGCGAATGAAGCTCCGAAAAATTTTGGACCCGTGCGGAGAGGAGGTGGGTTCAGAAAAATCCACTTTTCTTGAGTTCTGTCAAGTCAAATTTAAAAATCTATAGCGCATTAGAGAGCCTAAAGTAGTGGCTTTTTAATGCTTTTTAGAGATTTTCTCTACCTATCTCAGTTTAAGACGGGATGTTGGAGTTTTTTAGCCAATGTGCATGAAAAGTTCAGCTTAACGCACGTTGGCTAAAAAACTCCAACATCCCGTCTTACGTGTATCTCAGTTCAGGAGATATTGAACAAGTAAACTTACTTTCTGGACGACTCTCGTACAAAAATTAAGGGATACTAGTTGATTTGATATCATTAATGCTTAATATTTCAAGTCATTTTTGCAATTATTGACATATCAATGGGGTACTTGCATGCAGCTGGGATTTTAGATTTGAAGACTGTTACTGGCAGAACTTTTCGCGAAAAAGCAGTTTTTCGCATTTGCAAGTTCCGAAATTGAGTCGAAAGCTTCGTAAAAGTTCGATGAAAAGTCGCAAAATCGCAGTAAGAAATAAATGATTTCTATTGGCTGTAACGTCAGTTGGTATACACGGCCCCGCCCGACGCCATCATCCCTATCTCGACCGTGTGTTTACCGAGCCGAAGTATGATCTGTTGTGTCATTTAAAGTGTCTAAATAATCTTTTTTCCTCGGAAAATACTGTCGGAAATCATGCCAAAAAGTGTTCAGAACTGTATCTTGATCATAAACTCTAACACAGCGCTAGTTGAGATCAGAAAAGTGATAAGAACAAGTCTATGTTATGGTGTTGTTGCGATTTTTGGTCACCGGCGCCACCAGCACCTAAAGAGCCCAACTCAAGCTATGATTGGCTACAACGCACGAACACTGCCGAAGCAGTCCGGACGCACCCTAATCCGACAGACCGCACGGCTCTCGGCAGCGGCAAAAGATACGCGAAAAGCTCTATTCCAACTCCCTTATTCACCAAGAAATCATGATGGAGAGTTTTCAAAATTGTTTTGAAATTATCAATCAAATCCTAAAATTTTCATCAACGCAAAGAAATCAAGTCTAGACAAAAAAATCGATTTTTCGCGAATTTTCGAACAGACCGTATTTACTTGTATTTGGCATAGAGCGAACACGGGCGAACCTTGGTGTATACAATGTGACGTCACAAAGTACCAGTTTTGAAGCGCGGGAAAAGACCTGTTTCAAATGGCATTTGACTTTGAGGAGCTTTTTCTCAAAGTTCCGGTGACCGGAAATTTTTTTAAAAAATACCTCAATACTCAGTAGACCTCAAACTTTTAGAAATTGAAGTAAAAAAATGTCATGCAACTACCCCATTAGCAATGGTTCCAACATAAACGATAGAACCTGAAATTAGAGCTACATGAGCATTTGAGTTGCATTTTGTAAGAAGGAACCACAAGCATTCCAATGTCCCTACGGTTAAGCAAATTTTTCTAAATGGCAAATATAAACTGAGCATCTAAACAAGTTATATCTTCACTTTGAATAAACTATAAATTCAATACAAAATTTACCTTTGAAACTTAGATGTTTTGCAAGGAAAGTTGCAGAATCCTAGCAACATCGGAGTGCTCTTGGTTCTTTTCTGCAAAACGCAATCCTTTTTAACCTAAGTTACACTTAGATATGAATTACCTGAACGACAACAACTTTGAATTCATCTGAGATTTCAGAAACAAAGGTGGATATCTGTTTCATTAGTCGATCGACTGAGGATTCCGCTCCTGTCTTGAGAAGAGTAGTTATGGCCAAAGTAGCGATGGATCTGTTTGAATCACTGATAAGGTTCTCAAGATCCAAATTGCATGCTGTCACAGCAGCTGGATGAGACATAGCCACCTGAAATATACAAATATCCAAATTTTAGATAAATATTTAAAGTGTTCAAGAATTTTATAAGACTTTCATGAGAGAAATTGCCAGACTCTTGTTTTAGAAAATGCTCTGTAGCAGATTACTTGGGCTTTTTTTAAAGCAGTTGAGGACGATAATTTTTTTGTGAGCAGTAGAGTTTCCTTTTTTTTCTTTCGATTTCTTTCCTAAATTTTCTTTTCAGCTCTTTGAGAGGAAGAAGCAGCGTTGATTTTAATGAAAAAGACTGAATAACAAATTGGTTCTAGTGAAGAAAAATGTCCAGTGCGCTATTCTTTAGTAAAAGCTGGATCTTTCCAACACATTAATAAGCCTTTTTACTAAAATAGTATTACGCATCAGTTGCAACTTATTAAGAAGACAAAATGTGTGATCTAAATTTTCAAATTTTTCAAATGTTTTCATTTTAAGATTTTATAGAACATTCAAAAATCTAAGGTAATATTGTCCTTGGTTGGGGACTAGCAATAGAAATAAATAATTCGAGAAATACAAAAAGAACCAAGGAAGAAAACATTGTCTTTTTTGTATTATCCAAAAGGTTGTGAGGACCTTCCACTGACACAAAATATCCACACAAAAAAATTGCAGAGGCCATTTGAAAAAACATTGAGATTTAAAATAACTGTCAAATCAAATTATCGCTTGACTTTTATTAAATGATCTTATTAGTCACTGTAAAAACTTTGTTGATAAAGATAAAGGTAGAGGCTGTAAAACTTTTTTCACTTTGTTATGTACTTACTTTATTCAATGTTCTGACAGCTGCAAAACGCAGAGCAGGCTTTGGACTGGAACAGAATAATTGAAGCACCGATACTGCGGGGGCCAGTTCACGGGGTGTTGTGCGTCTAAGATTCACAACTGCATGCGCAGCCTCATAAATGACTGTCTCTGACTTATGCCTCAAACATTTTTCAACGAAGTCAAAAAGGGGTGACTCACTCAATGCAACATCACCTTCTTCTTCCAGTAGTTTGCAAACAATTCGGATCTAAAATAAAACATACTTTTCATTAGAAATCGAAAAAACAAAATTACTCCTTATTGTCATTTTATGAGTTTTGTTGCATGATTTCATGTTTTGGATCTTGTTAGGCATCAATTCATATTTTTTACTGATCTGCATAAATTTTTGTCTTTATTTCTTTCACACAATGCTCCTATAATAGAGGTCGCTTTCCCAAAAATGTACTGTGATTTAGTTGTTCGTTTCCTTTTATTGAATCCTTTTGGAGGGAATTGTAATTCATTCTAAATTCATTAAAAGAGTGCTTAAATTAGACAAGTAAATTGATGAAAAAAATAATGACTAAAATTCTCCTTCAGTTGATAGGAAGGAGATAAAAAAAGTAAAATTTTTTTGCTTCATAAAAAACACCTCCACATCAAAACTCGATCTTTAAAAGTAAACGTTTTCCTATTGATCACTTTGCCCACATATTTACTATGAAAATAAATCCATACAACTTTAAGGCCTTTTTTTATAAATTATGTACTGCAGAACTTTTCACAATAGAAAGGATTGGGGGAAGCTTCAATGAGAAAGGTTTGATGATTTTGTAAAATTGATAATAGTGATGCTAAACATCAATGGCTGAAGTCGGATAAGGTATACCTCAGAATGCAATGTTGTAAATCTCCTCTTATATTTTATTTTTCCAAAGACAAACTGCCCAACAATTTTTCTTGAATATTCCAGGGAATATTCTTCACTTATTCTAAAAAAATCAAACAAACCTAAGTGAACACATTTTAATTAGTATTCCTTAAAGGAAAAAAATTAAACCTTATAGTCATAGAATTTTAAGCGTTGAAATAAAGATGCGATGAACTTACAAGAAGACAGACAGCAAAAGGCGACTTCAAGGGTGAACGTGTTAGCTTTGTGACTAATTTAGTGACAGCCAATCTGTCAGATTTTCGAATATGGTATAGCACTCCTAGAGCATGATATTGCACCATCACACTGTAACAAAGAAAACAAAATTGATATTCACTTCCTAAAGAGCTTGTACAGGGTGTCTACTAAAACAGGCTGATCAAAAATAAGTACTTTTACAGTACTTTTTCAGTACATTCTTGAGTAATTCAGTACCTCCTCCAACAGAAAAATTCCGTACTTTTTCAGTACCTCCATTTGACGAAATTAAAAAAATTTCAAAAATTTAAAAGCGCGACAAAAATGACAAAATATCTGAAAATATTCCGGACCTTTTTGCGGAATTTCCGCACTTTTTCAGTACTTCCGGACTGCCCTTAAAAAATCAGAACTATTTCCGGACTTGTAGACACCCTGTTATACTTGCTGTAACACCTAGATTACTCTCTGTGAAGGCTTCATAAAAGGTAAAAATGCAAGTACTATTTGACTGAGACGCTGACTGTGCCTGCAAGTTTGTTTGTAGATAATGATATCTGCACCACCAATAAAGTAGATGATGAGGCATCTGCTTGAGAACTCATAGATTAAAATGCTTAAAAGTATCATTTTCAGATTTACCGCAACAAAGTTTAACAAGTGTAAACAAATTTTTGTCTCTTAATTTTCATGATGTAAGAGTAGGTTGAGGAATGATATGCAATGGAGATGTTGCGTGTGAGAGGAATTTTTCGATTTGACTATTGATTCTGATATAAAAGTTCGGGAGAAACACGATAGTGCCACTCGTTTTCCCTGAAATCAACTCCCAAGCTCAAAAAAAGCTCCCTAAGTTGAGGGCGTAATGGAAAGGATATCCCACGCTAACCTGAGAGTCCACCTCTACATCAAGACAAACTCTTCATGCAAAGATAGGGAGCGAATACATTGACAGGGCTGCCACTTTATTTGGGGACTCTAAAACTGAAAACACGGCAATCCTGCTAACGTATTTGCTCCCTATTTTCACATGGAGAGTTTGTCTTGATGTAGAGATGGACTCTAAGGATAGCATGGGATATCCCCTCCATTTTGGCCTCAACTTGAGAGCTTGGGAGTTGATTTCAGAGAAAAGTGGGACTATCGTGTTTCCCGCAAACTTTACCATAAGAATTAATAGTCAAATCACAAATTTCTCACACATGCAACATCTCCATTGAATTATATGATCATTGGTGTGAAACAACTACAGAGACTTTTGCAGATGTAAGATGGTGATCATACAATCATGACCAAGGTAACGTCATGACCTGCTTTATGCAAGGTATTTTCACCATGGAGGGAAAGTTCCATAAAAGCACTAATTCTCTCTCGGAGTTATGTTGTCTGGAGCAACACTCATTGTGCATAAACCTGTGATCTGTCAAAATAAAAATAAAAAATTGCGGCAAAAGTTTTTCTCAAAGCACAAAAAACACTGTCAATCTGATACTAGTAATTCTATGCATTTTGGCCTGTGAACTCACAGAATGATGCCTCATCATCTAATACTTCGGTGATAGTGAGATCATCATAATTTTTTCGCTAACAAGCAGACCCAGGCCCAGTTTGTGATAAACGGTATGGTTCTAAAATTTTAGACAGAGGACTCTTTTTCCACTTGCATGTTTCTCTGCAATGAATCTAGAATATTTTTATTACATACATAAACTTAATTAGCAGCATAGCTCCATAATACTTTGACTTTATCATTCTGTTGAGTTTGCTATGAAAACTTTATCAAACGTTATGTATAATATCACACATCAGCGTTTGAGTTATTTTTTAGTAATAATTGCTTCAAAAGAAAATGAGAAGTACAAAATAGGAATTTATAAATCACGAAGAACTTAGAAAGAGGTTTGAAGACAGGTGAATGAGATATCTCTCAAAATTACTTGTCACTTATGAGAGCTTCTTGCGCCTCATTAACCCAGCGTTTGACAACATCACCCGCAATTCTTGTCATATGCAGGCTACTAACGAGGGCAGCACTACTCACAGCAGCATTTCGATCAACAATTGCTTGCTTCATGTAACGTTCAATGGCTTGAAGCATTGATCCCTGAAATGAAAAAAATAAACTTAAAACTGATACTTATATCAGCGTGAATGTTTTATTACGTAAACTTGTAACAATGCAAATTGTTACATATTACACAAATGATATTAAGAATACAAGTAAGTTCACTTTTGAAAGATAAACATAAAAGTAGGTATCCTGCAGTAAATGATTTCTTGTTTCAGATGCACTTCATCTTAAGAGAGCCAGTATCATATAACTTCTGACATGTGTTAAAAAAAACAATTTGAAGACTAGAATAGTCTGTAAATATCCCTGTAAATTTTTCCACTTGTCGGCCTCCTGTGGTGTAGTGGTCGGCCTCCTGTGATGTAGTGGTTGTAGTGCTGGCCCTATGACCAAGAGGTCCCGGGTTCCATTCCCGGCCAGGTGATCTGAGTTCGATGGTCTCAGGCAATGGTCACCTGGGGCTGGGGTAATAAGCGTGAGATTAGCCGATAGGCTATTAGAAATTAGTTAACCCTTTCCGGTCCGCAGCAGTTTTCCACGGCCGCGAGAAGCGAGGTTAAGGTAGCAGCGATGTTGTCAACAAAGACAGTGGTTTCCAAAGGGTCCACCAGAGGCCGCCACTTGCTGGAGCAGTTGAATATGATTGAGCGTTTTTGCAGGCAAAGACCCCCTACGATGTGCAGGCGATCACAGAGCGGGAGTAGCTGGTCGAGCGTGCGTGCAGCTCGCTCGGACTCCATGATTCTCCTCTGTTGCTCTCTCCTCTCCCCTACTCTTTGCTCCTAATGGCGCCAAGCACAAATTTCACTCGCGGAGAAAAATTAAACTGCTCAGCTCAGGGAATTGGCATTTTTGATTGAGATTAAATTTCTAAACGAGTCCAACCCAAGTCAACCAGGGTAATTCTCAAAATACTTTGGCAAGATATTTTTCTGATATAATTTAAGGATATAATATAATTATTGACATAATTATTATGATATAATTTATTTAAGGATTGAGGATGGAGAATCTTTAGAATTTATGGAGAAATCACAAGCTTGTGTGGGGGCCCCAGCGTTCTGAGGCATTGAAATTAATCTTAAACGTACCTATTTACATTTTGAATTTTGGTGGAAAATACGGGGGGGAGGGGGGCTTTAATTTATATCTGAGCCATGTATGTTTGATTAGAGGATTTACTTATTTGCTAAATAGGCAGAGGATGCCAGATGATAAGGGATGAGTTTGAGGATTGTATGCGCACAAGGTATAAATGTTTTCAGGATAAAGCTATGGCAGCTAAAAACTAAGATAGCATCCTTCCTTCCTTATTGGAATCAGGCGTAGATCTCAGGAAAAATTTAAAAAATAAAAGGAGGCTATCTACGTGTGGGAGAAACACACAAGTTACTTAGAGTACTTAGAGTTAAATTTTAGGTAAAAAAGATGTGTAGTTGGTCGGTAAGGACGCAGGGTTGTACTTACGTATTTGCCAGGCTGTGTACATGCATGCAGCACCCACTGCAGCCTCCTCCGGAGAATACTATCGGTGCTTAATATTATCTCAAACATGCTTCAGATGTCAAATTTTGAAATCATCCATGTTGTGAATACCTATCTATTAATTATACCTGTATCTTTCCCTCTGCTTTATGCTGCATATTAGTACATTCTGTGCGCATTGGGGGAACTAGTTGAGAGGAGGAGGGGGGGGGGATAAATCTTACCCTCACATCTGACTTAATTCCTAAGAAATATGAGGGATTTTGCTAAGTTAGCTGTGTTGCCAGACTTTCATTGTGGAAATTATAATTGTACCAATAATATTTCCATGTAAAGATGAACCATCAAGCTAAAACTTTAACTAAACATTCGCACAAATTTATCAATTTCTTTTTGTGGCACAATGGTACAACTTCTGGAAACTTCCTGTTAATAGGTAAATACGAGGCACTTAGGTAGGGAGGCGGCGGACGATAGGATGGGTTAGAGTAGGTATTGGGAAGAGAGTGCTCGAAGCTCGAACTGCCCTGAGTTCCCGTCGCGCGACGCAGCCATCTTGCCTGCACATCGTAGGGGGTCTTTGCCTGCAAAAAGTAAACATCGTTGAATATACCCGACATCAGGCCTGCACAGAGGTTAAAACTTTCGGGCGACTATATCCGACATCGGACCTAAACGCATTATTTTTCACGGCGAATATATCCGACATTGGACCGGAAAGGGTTAAAAATAAAAAATAAAAAAATAAAAATTACACTAAAACATAAATCCAAGCCCATTCTTTCAATTTTTTAAATTTCTTTTTTTAGGTTTATTTCAACTTACGTCAGTTATGGAACAAAGAGCACGAATTGCAGCTGCCCGATACAGGTCCTCTTTACCCGTCATGTCCTTGGTTAGACTAGAAGTGACAATGATGACATCTTCAGCAAGGGAAGAGAGTTCCTTTATTCCCAAGTAGACCATTCTCCGGAGAATCACATCTCGAGATTGGAACAGCTTAGTCATTGCAAAGAACGTTTCAGTTGCTTCTGTTGTACCTAACTGCTCACCCTGCGGAAATAAATGACATGCATTCCAAGTTTTAGCAATCAAAGTAGAACTTTAAAAAAATAATTTAGGAGGATGATAAAATATAATTATGAAATTACATGGACCCTTTGACAAAGAGGCACATGGGTTGAATAATTGACCCAAATTAGGAGACTTAGAGGTGAACAAGCGGAGCAAATATTCCAAATGATATTGTGGAAACACGCTAGAGTAGCCATCATCATCTTACACGCAAGGTTAAAAGAATTGACGAAACAAATCATGAGAGAGGGAAAAGTTCAAATGATGTATATAAACAAAATATTAGATTGATTCTTTGATAAGAGTGAGACATGAGGACCATAGTATTACAGGGAAAACTTTCATCCGGACAATCAAGAAAACCATTATTAATTCAGTATTCCCAGTCTAGACCTTTCAACTAGGTTAAAGTAAAAAGACTCAGGTGCAAATCAAGTCATTTCAAATAAAACTGATTAACCTTGTACTTAATGAGGATGAAAACCGATGAATAGGTGAGCTACACTTAAAGTTCCATTGAGAAGCAAAATGTCTCTGACGAAGACTTAAGCTTACACACTTTAGTCCATAGGATGCTTCGACAATGTGGGAGTAAAGGAAACCTTACCTGGTTGATTAAATATAAAATTTTCGAGAGGATGATCGTGCATTTTCTTGGATTGACAGGAGTTTCATTGAAAGTTCGAGCCTCTTGTAAAACGCTTGTCTTCTCCAGGTTGAGAAAGATATTTCCGCCCCCTGAAACAGTTGGCATGACTAGATAATGTAAATGTTTATTGGTTTCCGTGTTGTTGATTGTGTTTCAAATATTGAAATTGACAAGATTCACATCAGGATATAAGAAAAGAGACGCAAAATAAATATAGGATGCACATTTAGTGGGAAATTAGTAGAAATGTGATAAGGGATCATTGAAGTTGGATTTGAAGAATCTGGAAAGTTGCCACCTCTAAGCAAATAGACGGCAGGAATCCATAGAAGGTAGGAATCCAGTAGAACACTTACCGTCCTCTTCTTCTTTTTTATCCCTTTTAAATGCCATAATGTAATTATTTTAACTATTAAAAAAGTAAAAGTATTAAACCGACACGGCGTCCAATTGACAGACCATCCCGTACACGTCATGCATGTAAACGTTGTTGAATGATGATAAAGTGAGCCCCTTCGTCATCGATGGCTCGCCATAAAATCAAAACAAACAAAAATTCAAAAATTACCCACGATTTTTGAATTGACGGAGTAACGGAAAATTTGCGACTTTCGCGATTGGTGTATTTAGCGAAAAGAGGGTGATTATAATTACTGAGATCTATTGTTTTATCTCAAAAACATCGCAAGAAACATGAGCTCTATGGATGAAAAAGTGACTCCTTTGCCACCATTCAATTTAGGTGCGTGAATCTTATTTTTTTTCTTATGAGCTATTCTCTCCTACAAGCAGCATACTTACCTATACATATACATGACAACTCATGTAATGTTGCCAAAATTGTGCTGTTATCGTTTTCTTGCAATACCGCAATAATACACACACTCATATGACAAAGAGCAGTTGCATTGCCAGAAAGGCAACACATTTTGAGCAATTTTTCATTCAAATTTTATGTGTTCTTTTTCTCAGGGACAGCGCTGACAAATGACAAAGAATTGAATAATTCGTTGAATACTTGAAAATTCTTACTTCGTTTGTACAAAATCTCTTTGAGTAATTTTCCAAAAAAATAAATAAATTTAATTTTATCTTCAGTTAATATGAGTACAGACTTACCTGTCCATCCGATAGCTGTATTTTGAAGTATTTGAGTCGGGCCACTAAAGAACCTGTCATTAAAATATTTTGGAGAAAATTTTAAGCACTTTATATTTGTAAATTAAATATCAGTCTGTTATTTTTTCTTTTTTATTTATCTTCCAGAGGGCTCACTGGTGCAATGGCTGAAAAAGTTACAAGTGGATTATAATCACACTGAACGGAATTCAAAAAACCTGGCGACTCATCAAGTTGTACCAACTCCTTTGGTAGAGTTCATCTTTATAACAAGTAAAGCACTTGAGCTGCCTTTGGAAGTTAAATTCTTGGCTGTGGATCTATTTGACAGGTGTGTATTGTTGTAACTGTTCCATAAAAATTGATCATTAATGAAGCCTCATACAGTATAACTCAATCTGTAAAAAATTGCAGCGGGAATTATTAGGAGAGAGGGAACGGCCAGGTTTTATTGTGATCATTGATCAGGGCGCAAGAACATTGTGTAATAGTGTTTTGGACGAGGGAAGATATACCGTACATCCATCACTTAAAATTGAAGCCTTTTAAAATCAACTCAATTCTTTCGTCTGGGATCTTAATTTATGGGGAAACCCAGTTACTACATTACTGCAGGGCAATGGATCTAAAAATATTAAGATGAGTAAGTCAAATTTATATCATTACAGAAGCAATCAAACTCTAGAGGCAATTAATGTTTTATCCCACATAGGCCTTTAGAGCTACAAGAAATTAAAAAAGAAGTACCTTAATGAAAAATGGTGGTTTCAAATTCTTGTTCCATCCTCAAATCTTGAAGGATCAATTTATCAGGTTTCCGAGTGCCCTTGACCTGCTATTTTGAGCCAAAATTGCCTCCTGAGTCTTGACTAAGCGAAATGCCATGGTGCAACAGTGCTTTTCATGCTGACTTTTCATTCTATATAGGTTCATTCGAAATCAATTTAAAGACCTTTACTCAGAAGTTCTTGGATCCTTAACTCCACGCAGTCTGAAACGATGGGAAAAAGTAGAGGCAAAAATTTGCTCTCAGTTAGAACTCCGTATATTTTCTTGCTTACAAATTGCTTCAAAATTCATCCCAGAAAACTCAACTGACTCTAAGGTAAATATTTCATACTTCAGTAAAAGATCATGGAAAGGTAATTCTTTCAGTTTTTACTTCCCATTACTTACTCATCACTTCATAATGTCTTTTCCCCTAATTTCACAAATTCTCAATGCAGAGACCTTGGTTTGTACCGAGTATATCGACAGTGAAACCACCAAACATATACCTCATTTCCTGTGTTTAAAAATCCCCGCTCTCATTTTATTTTTTTCAAGGAGAGCAAATCAACAGCATTCCTCCATTGAAAAGAAAGATAACGCAAGTTTTGAAGAATTGACATTGCGTAATTTTCCATTTAAAAAATAAACAATGACAGGAAGTATGCAACATTGCAAACCGAGATTCACTGTCGATATACCTACATTTTTTTGAGTACTTTCATAGGAGGAAACTTAAAGAGTACATTTAGCTACCAATTTTCATTCTTTGACTATATACGTGTAACTGACTGACTAAGCAATCAAAGATGCCAATTATTAAAATTTTACAGATTTTGAGCTCAAGAATGATCTATGAATTTATAAAAGAGGATGCAGCATTTTCATTACAAGACATTAATAAATCTGAAATGAGAGTGTTTAGAACTTTGAATTTTCAGGTAGGATATTCATTTGTTTGATTTTTGGTGGAATATTTTTATTTAGGGTGGAGAAATTTCATGAGCATGCGCAGGTTGGGCTGTAAGCGCTGGTAGAAGGGCCTCCTTTCACAACTTTAAAAAATGGAAAGGCCATAAAGTGGGTCTTAAGGAAAGCTGACTCTTGTCAGTGTGAAAATTATGGCAATTTGTTGGTGAAGGGGGGAAAAAAAAATGTAAAAAAGGAGGTAAAAGTAATTACGTCGAAAATTGTGAGGGAAAAGAGGTTTTTATGATGAGAAAGACTCACTTTCTGCATCTCTATCCTACATTTATCCCGGCATGAGCAATCAATGATTTAATAGAAAATATAAGGTTAATACATTTTGGAATGCTGTTTCAAAAAAGATTTCTTAAAATACTTGCGATGTGAAAAAATCAAAATTAAAATAAATTTTTGCCAAAATCAATTTGGATTGAGACGCTGGTTAGTCAAGTCCAACAGAAAAAAAATTACTGAGAATTTTCACTCAATAGCTCTGAATGAATTTTGCATGGAGTCCATGCCAATTAAGCTTACACTTTTTTAGACAGAAAACGCTTTGCTCAGAAACGCGCGGCAGAGACGCTTTTTTTGCGACAGAAAATCCGTCATTTTAATTCTTGCAATTACTTTCAATGCTGAACTGACGTCTCACCATCTTCTGTTGCAGTCTAAAAGTGCAAGAACTGATTTGACGTGAACTGTAAAAGTTTTTTCAATCCTTTCTGGAAATAATATGCAAACATTCTAAAATTTTTGTATGGATGATTTTAGATCGGAGGGGCAACAATCATAACTTTTGTTGATGCTCTTATTTTGGGATTGTACAAGCACATGTATGGTTCTGCTGAATACAATCACATACTTCAAAAATGTTACCAAATGTGTGAGGTTGTGTATCTGAATCATCAAGAAATATACACACACTTTTTTCACAAACTGACAGCGCTATGGGATAGATCACATGCAGATAGGTGAGCACAGATCAAATAGTATCAACTCTAGAATTCTATGACTGTCTTTTTCTTTCTTTATAAATGAATTCATTGTAACGAAAAAGGAATTCACGTGACCTATCACAATTTTAAAAAATCAGTAATGATGTTTCAAGTTACAATATAGTCGTTTGTACCAGACATGTTGTCATGTAAACTACTCAAGTAGCACAATGCAATAAAAATATTGAAATGTACAAGGAATGCTGTAGAGTGAAAGTTTTTGAACTGAATTCTGTAATTATAGAAGAGTCTACACTCTTTTTAAATAATTGAATTCAGTAATACACAACTACACATATGTTGTTCCAGGCTAAGTTTCAGCTCAGTAGAATGCAATGGACTGATCAAAGGAGCTGCAATAATCTTGACAACTGCACGACTGTCGCAAATACCAGGAGACAAAGAAAAGATTCTGACAAACGAGCTCTCTAGGCTAACAACATCGCCTGAACAATGTATCCAGGAGCTATCTGCCGTGATTCTTCATATTATTTGCCCACAGTACACACCATCAAAAAAGTACATACACACACATTAAGAATAATTAGCTTTCACTCAGACTCATTGAGCTCCTTTTTGACGATGCAGTAGAGAAAAATTTAAGTTCAAAGATTTTTTTAGGGAAAAAAAGATCATGCTCAAGGATCTCTGTGTGGCACAAAATTTGATTGGTGAATCCTCAACTTGTTGATTGGTTCATATGATCAACGAATGATTACAAGCAAGATTTAAATTTATTTTCCAAGCTTAAGTTATCATTTTAATCCACTGAACACTAGTAGCACATGTCATAAAATGTACAAAACAAAATATTGTAAAAAAAAAAAAAAAAAAAAAAAAAAAAAAAAACAGTAGTAAAATAGACTCAAACGAAATATGAGAGAGAAAATGGAAATTACCTCTCTTTACCACTTTGATCAAAAATTGTTTGCAAAAAATTATTGAACTCTATTTACTACAGCTTTACAAGCTTTTTTATATACAACTTTCAAACTCATAAAAAATGTCACTCTTACATTTTTTTCGGGTTATTTTAGAAGATGTGCTACTAGGGCAAAAAATGAAAAAAAATGAATTAATTGTTGGCCTACAAACAACTATAAATAAGTAGATGACTACATTATCTTTAATTATTCCTTCTCAATTTTTTATTTTCCTCTTCCGTAAAAGTAAATTTTAATTTTTTATTTCCCTCTTCTGTAAAAGTAAATTCTAATTCTTTATTTTCCTCTTCTGTAAAAGTAAATTCTAATTTTTTATTTTCCTCTTCTGTAAAAGTATATTCTAAGAAAAAAGGTTGCCAACTATTTGAAGTAAATGCTCTCCTTTAAAAACTGAGCTGACTACCAAGCACACTTTAATTATGAAGACGTATTGCACTTCACTAATCAGGCCGCTCTTTGTTTTTTATGTCATTTTTATCCAATAATTGACTGAATTTGATTTAAAAAGAAAGAAAAGAAAAAAAACCTACTGCAATTACTTTGTGTAGACAGAGAAATGAATGACTTTACAGACTTTCAGTGAGTAGCTTCCCTTACCTAAATTAAGCTAAAACCTTTGTAAGAAGCAATTTGATTATGTTGAAAAAAGTTAAGCGGTTCAAGTTTTTTCACAACCCTAAAAAAGATCAATAAATGCAAACAAATCGGAGGCTCTTGTTCAGGTCGGTGAGGAGATTAAACACGAAAAGATTTGTTAAAAAACCAGAGCAGTTTCCTATGAAGGGTACTCATTTGGGTGCTTTTAGTCGACTTTCATCAAAAAGGATGAATCTGTTCAACTCCCAGGAGGCTAATTGTTGATTTTAATGGACAAGGCGCCATATAAAGAAGACAAAGAGAAAATGGAGGAATCCTATTGGTTGAAACGGGCGATTGTTAAACAGTACAGAGGGAAAGTGATGGACTAACTATATGGTCTCTCATCGGTTGCCATTAGTTGGTATATTATTTATCTTCTTGGTATATTGCAAACACCCGCTTCCACTATTAGGATCACTCCATTTTCCATTTTTTTTATTTGTCTATCGTTTTATCTATCTAAGTCAACCATTAGCTCTCAGGAGTTCACACAAAAATGAAGGAGCTAACTACCAAATGAATTCAGAAAAGCGTAAAATGAGAAAGCATTTTTATAAACAAAACAGAGTGTAATGTAGTTGAATTATAATCAGCTAAACATACAAAAAAGTATTACTTTTTTTCATCATTATAATTTTAGCTACAACGGAGGCTTAACCGTAAAAGTCAGTGCAATACAATGTATTTGGTTACAATGAGGGGGGAAACTAGATATTAACAAATATGAGAAAAAAAGGTAATATAAAACATATAAAACTAAGAATAAAATTAAAAAATTATAAAACAGACAAATAAAGGATTTACTTACTTGTACATATTTAACAGATAGATCTGAATGTAAAATTTATAATGTTGATCCGCTTATAACTAATTAGCTCTTGGAATGGTACAATTTTTACATTTTATTTCGTGCTAATTTCTTTTTCCTAGTAAATATTTTTCACCCCATTTAATTATGTTAAAAGAATAAAGTCTCATGATCAAATCACTAATATTGTTTCTCATATCCTCTGCTTTTGCATTACTCAAGACAGATAGTGACAATAAAAAAAGAGGATAAGTAAGAAAAAAATTTAAGACTAAGAATGCTATCAGAAAAGAGTGTTTGTATAACAATACATGTATAGATATTATTATTCTTGTACTGCTGATATTCTTGCTTCAATCACGTTGCAAAAGACCAAGACATACTTGAGATCAACCTTTGCCTCAACTCTTGCGTCTTAAATCACACATCATTGCCTTTTGCACCAAAGAATGTATCTCCATTGCGCTATTTCCGTATTCCTTACTGATGCTTTATTTTTTATAGGCGAACCTTCACAATAATTTGCCTGAAACTTCAGTGATTTTTATCCACACTTACAAGAGAAGACACAAAAATTTTCAGAGAAATTCATGCAATGGCTCTTCCAAGAAAAAATTAAAAGTTCGTAAAAATACTGGAGTAGCACTGACGAGATATGTTCTCTTGTTCTGGAGACAAAAATATATGTTGAGTTGGAGAAAAAACCTGATTGGAAAAAAAAAAACAAAGGCCTACTGATTATTTTCTGGAAATGGAGCTAGAGGAACAGAGGCTTTGTTTGCTGTGGAAGTCTTACCTTGTCCTGCCCTAGCTGTCATCAAGCAAAAACAGTTTAAAGTATGAAGCCAGGACTACAAAATTCTAACTTTAATTACATAATTTGGCTATTCCACATGAACATTCTATTCTGAGAATGGGTTATTTGCGCTGGACTTAAAATCATTCTATAGATTAGCACAAAATAATAAGATTTGTTCCAACACCAATTATTTAAATTCAATATTAATTGCCCTTTAAAAACATGGTGATTGATGCCACAGCTTCTTCCCTTTTGATTTTTGCCATCATAGATGGACGCATTTGATGGTTACTGCATGCTTGTCATTGATAAAACCGAAGTGAAAAAACCATGTTATGCACTACTATGGTAGATGACATTCATCACTGAGTTTTTAAGCAATGAAATCTGTGATAGTATTGTCGTGTCGGAACAGATCTCACTACTTTCTGTTAACCTCCAAGTCATAACCATCAAAACACGATTTTATGACTAGCGCTGTAGACCAATTTTAAGTTGAATACTTAAAATATGTGTGCATTTTTTAAGTCTTTATATTCCACAAAAGATACATGAAAAAAATGAAATAAAATTATTGAAAATATTACAATTACATAGTCCTTGTGTCCTACTATAGAGGAAATCAATTGTAAAAAAAGAGATATGATAAAAGGAATATAAAGATTTGCGTTTGAAGAAGAGACTTATATAAAAACAAGAGCTTGATAAAAAAAAAGTTAAATTTACAAGGAACAGCTGAATCATCAAATACGTGCAATATCTTTCTATTTAGATTTGAAATTAAAATGTCCAGTGTGCACACGCACAAGAGAAGTTGGGGGAATCTGGTCGATTGGGATGAAAAATTGGACTCACAGAGATAATAAAATCTTGTTAGCACACACTTGATTTAAATGCCATTGATAATCCCTGCAAAAAGTTCGGATACTGTGAGTTTAGACTTGAAAAATTCAAGGAATGCAAAAGAAAAAGAAAAAAAATCGAACAGAAACGAGCAAGCTAACTAGTTGCAAAAGTTGAACTGGACAAGGTGTGATTACAGAAGACTATCTGATATAGAAGACGCAGGTATTGGAAAAAGTTAGGTACTGCGTTGATTACTAGTTAAGGAACTGTTAAAAATTAAAAAACAATGCAACCGAGAGGAATTCCTTTAGAATTGAAAAAGCATCAAGCAGATGCTTGAAAATTGAAGAAAAGCACCAGTTCATTATTTCTCAACAGAATAAATTACATCTTTCCGGAAGAGCTGTGTGAACCTCCTTTGAGAGACTTGAATTAAGGTACAGTTCCAAGTAGGTTCGATTTCACGGATTTAGTTTGTAAGCTTTAAAAGTTTACAAATGATTGCAACAAAGGCAGAAATATCAAATCCGCATTAGCCACATTCATACCATAATCTTTTCCTGGCTACTGGGAATTTGCCTGAATAATTTTTTTCACATGAAATCTAATCTACTCGTATTCAAGGGTATCACAAGTGACAGTTCACACCAGTCACTGATCGTGTTATGGTGAGCAGGGTCGTTGTTTGAAAACACATTAGTAAATCATATATTTTAAATTTAAAAAATTTGGACAAATTATCAACTTTTATGTAAAAAGAAAATGTTTCGCTCAGGCACCTCTTCGAGGATTCAAATCAGATTCAAAATTCAAGGTTCGCACAGCTCTACTTCCCAGTAACTTAGAAACGGAAGGAGAACAATGAAAGGAAAACAGGCTATAAAATTAAAGATGTATCAAACATAAACATACGCTGCAAGGTTTTAGAAATTAAACTGTACACCAATACTGTCCGAGAAAAAATGAAAAAAAGAACGAACGAATTGTTTTACAATAATTTCTCTTTCATCCACCAACCTTATCAATTGACATAAAATTTCTATAACATTTAATAATCAACTTTTTACACTATCTAATATAATTCATTGCTTTCACTCTCTTAAATTATGAAAATTACTCTAACAATATTCTACAGAACTAAATGATTCAAAATCAATGAATTTTAATCCTTCCGCGCTTTCACGATAAAAGTGCTAAAAATTAGGAGCAGATAAAAACATTCGATCATGGATGTTTAACATTAAATACTACTAGTGGCAAAAAAAATGAAAAAAAAGAAGGCAAATGACACATTGAGATGCAGGATTCGGTAGATATTCGTTAGTCAACTCATAATGAAAAACTATTTGAAATAACTTGAAGTGCCGATAATGATTGGATAGCATGAAGCAAACCAGTCATGCCTACATTGGGCCTCTTTGGAAAGAACTTATCCATTAAGCGGAAATTTGGGTTACATTCAGTTGTATGGAAGCAGGAAATGGGCTAATTTTCAACAAGAAACCCTGCATAACAAAGCATTAAAATTGAAATAGCCTCTTGGATGACCTTGAACGCATAGAGAGTTTTTCTTTTAACATTTTTGCTGATATGATTGGATTGCTAAACCATGTTGCAGCAAGAATTGTATCAGGCAGAAGTGTATTATCCACAGGAAGATTAAAAACTCCTAAGGGACTGTAGGGTCTAATGCAGCCTTCAGCGGGTTCCTGTGAGTGATCCCCATTTCCCGTTTCCATCCTGCGGCTGTAATGTCTTTTATTCCATTAGCGTCCGTATGCGTCATATGTTACTAGTCTTGCACTATTGCACATAAGTCTTTTTTTGGAACTCTCGATGATAATATGACTAGTTTTCTTAACGATACGCAAATAGGGTACCTAATACTTCGAATTTCATTCACGGTGAAATTAAAAGGAATCAAACTCTATAAACTACATGATTTACCTTTCTTTGATTACCATATTAGGGTTGGCAATTTAGAATACCCACATAAAGAGCATTGTTGAAAATATTTGGGAATAATAAATTGAAATAGGTAGGTGAGGACCATTACAAGGTCCAAAAACTGAGATTTATGTTTGACAAGAGAGAAGGTTTTTAAATGAAACCTTTCATAACAGGGAGTTCTGACAAATTTTAACACGGTGTATCAGAGAGAACAGAGCACATAATTTTCCGACAAAAATTTAAGGGTTTGATCAATTTAAAAAAGTACCTAGGAGCCACTGATTAAAATTTTAAAAACGCTGGACTTTTACTGCAATATATAAAATCAAACCTAGTGCAGTAAGATGAATTAATTGTAAATGAAAAAAATTCTTACAATAAATCAAAGTTGCAGTTGAGCAAAGACTAAAAAATGACGGAAAAACGAAGAAAAAGCAAATAAAATAAAATTATTACACGAACATAATTATTTCGGCAGGCAAAATGTCTAGATTTCGTTGTTCAATAAAAATTTTCCTTTCAGCGACTGTTGCATGCAAACTTCTGTCGAAATTACAGAAACAAAATCGTCTTAGCATTTGTGTAATAAGATATTTCTGAGGAAAGCGATGAGGAAGAGAAAGAAATAGACGTGAAGGCAGTATCAAGCTTTTGCAAGGCAACTATTGAAGAAAATTAAAATGGATGTACGAAAAATTCAAATTGATCTGGGTATACGGGCTAGGATTCGACGTAGAACAAGCTTCAATGAGATATAAAATAGATAAAGAGCAATGTTTCAATAGCCCTGTAGAAAAACTCAAGTCAAAATGTAAGAAATGGTGGAAATTATAAGTTAAATGAATACAAAAGCGATTCCAAATTTTCGAACCAAATAGAATTTCTCCTAGAGGAAAAGTATTATGTACCAAAATAAGTTTTCCCTCCAGAAGATTGATATCTCATTGATTCAGAAATTTATGAACAACTGTAGAAACTATATCCCTCCATCACATGACAAATCTTTTAGACCGTCTTCGTGAAATTTTTTATTATTTCAGTCAGAAGAAGTGGATTAATTCACTGTATTTACAAAGCCAGTTTTGAAAAAAAAAAAAATAAATAAATAAATAATAAATAAATAAAATAAAACTTGCAGGAAATAATGCTTCCATAATGCATATTTTCTCAAGACTGATCTTTCAGTAGCTTGGTCATATTCAGTTGTGATGAAGAGTTTAAAAAACTGAATTGAGCAGCTGCAAAAAAGTTCACTATGCTAAGTATTAAGGGTAAAAATTTTGAAAAATTCCGCTGCTTACATTGAAATTATTAACAAAAAACAAAACAAACTACTTCTTTTAGATTAAGAAATTAAAAAAAAAAAGAAAAGTTTACACTATGACTAGCATACGTTGCTCATGTAGAGATCATGGTTGAAAAACAGATGACAATTATTAAAATAAATCATAAAAATGTAAATTCGACTTCTGCAATGGGTGACTTAGATCTCTGGGCTTGGTTCTGATTGAGTCAGTGATTCAATTATAAGTCTTCATCGAAAATAAGAGGTTCCACAATCTTCAATTAGCTGTATTTTTGCAAAAATTGTCTAAGTTGATAAACAAAACCATTATGCTCCCCTTCATTACCACGAGGACTGCGTCTGCGTTTGACAAAATCGTTTTTTTCCCAGGCTGATTTTGCTATTGCTCAACAACCTTTACTCACAAGTATTTACATTTGAGCTCTATCTCTACCTATATCTCATATTTAAAGAGAATTTGAACTACAACTTAAGAAACTTCTGACACAGTGTGCTTTGATTTGTTTGCATGAGAGTAAATTTACATTGTGAGATATGCGCCCGCAGAATCTAGTCTGGTAATGAAAGGAATGAATATTAAAATTCAGCCGCAAGGAGATATATGGGAATTATATAATCTACCAGTTAAAACATTCAGTTGTCCTTGATGCTAATTATAGTTGCTTGAGAAGTGAGAGCGAAAATGACCGTAAAAATTTTCTACCAAAGCGGTAGAAAGAACAAAAAATAAAAATTAAGGAATAGAAGCACATAGAAGCTACTGTGGTCCGCAAGGCTTTTATGGCCCCTTGCAATCAAGTCTAAATGAAATATAAAAAACTGATACTTCTTTATGAAAATTATAAACAAGCTGCTTGGGGTCTCTGGTGCTAATTCTTTTTAATCTAATCACTACTTACACTTGTGCGTACACACTGAAATACAGCAATCAATTTTATATCATTGTAAATGTCTCAAAGTAAAGCTGAATTCTTACATAAGTAATACATTTTTTTAGCCTGATATGCTTTCAATTAGAACAATTTTAACATAATACTGCAATTAATCATTTTCAATCACTAAAAAATCATTTACAATTATAAAAAAAATTGAAGAAAGAAACAATTATTTTAGCAAAAGGATTAATTTTTTAGCTGCAAATACAAAAAGATTTTCACTACGACCAATGACAGGTTCTAAGTATATTATTTTTTTCCATAACTATTTGTACAAATTTCCATTGAATTTCATTTAGGCAATTAACACTGCAAAATAATTGAAAGAGATACATAATTCCCTGCTCCTTTGAAACAGAAATAAAAAGGAGTGCTTTCAAAAATATTAGTATAAAAATAGTTATGACAGTTATTGAAAATAATTCAGCTCAAAAGTTGAATAAAAGTATCTGCAAGAGGTAAGAAGCAGATACGTAAAATTTAGTCGTAAGATTAGAAACAAAGAAAGGAAAAGAACGCTGAAAAAAAGTTAGAGAAAAATTTTTGATAAAAGAGAAAATCACTCAAGTAGATCAACTTTTTGGTAAAGTGAATCCTGAAGAGTGTAGTGAATGCAATCTAAAGAAGAGTAAAAAAATGAAGTAGCAAATGAGTTGACTAGAAAAAAGAGCACCCAAAACATACGTCAAATGTGTACTGACACATGCTTTTCACATTTCCTGAATCGGGGCTCCAAAGTAAGGATTGATGATAGACTTAGCAATAATAAATGCAAATTAAGTAAAGAAACGAAATTTAAAATTTCAATCTTTCATGGTTATTAACTGTGTCCATTTTATGGTTTTGTTTCCATAAATTCCAGATCAGTTTGACTAAATTTATGAAATTTTCAACACCACCAATATACAGGATTAAATCTTAGAGAGAGCTATGCTCAGGTCTACTGAGAAAAACTACATTTTCAAAACTACATGATCATTTACAACATTTACAAACATCGTCTTAAAATGGCAGTGTTATTGCACAGTTCCGTCTTAAAAGAAGGTGCACAAGCCAAGGGTAAAAGTGAATTTTAGCTTAACTTCAAGATAAACTTACATATGCTTCAAGTATGTGACAAAATCAAAGCAGTAACTTAAATTACTTTAGAAATTTTGATTATTCCTGATGTTTAAAAAAAGAAATAATTTTTCTGTACTTGGGATACTTGAGATGCATAAGTCTGAATTACTGATAGAGAAAAGCATTTCCATCACCAAGACCACTTAGCTTGCAAAACTCTCTTCATTTGAGATCTTCTTCGCTGCTCTCTTGATCAGCATCTACGCCTCTTTCTCTTCTCGAGTCCTCTTCCGTCCCTGTGGATGAACTTGGTGTTTCTACGTCTCTTTGACCAGGTGAGATTGGTGAATGCTGCGAACTCAGTCTGGTTGGCAAGTTCCCACTAGAAATATCCAGTGACGATGTAACATTAATCCGCAACATGTTCTCTGTTTGGAAAGGATTTGTTTTAGCGAAAACGTTTGTGTAACTATACGAGGCATCGTGGTTTGTTGCAGTGTCAGCAGCCGAGCTAATAGCCGGCGAGTAGCTGAACAAGCGAGCTCCATTCGATGTTGCTCCTCCCGATATATTGTTCTCTCGCTGGAAAATTGAGTTTGAGAATACATTGTTTTGAAGAATGTCGGAGTTGCCTTCTGACAATATGTTACGTGCAGCAATTGGCGGGGGTTTCGGATCACACAAGAAGGGGTTGTTTTCTCTACCAGATTTTGTCCCATTACTCAGTCCGTTCCGTTCTGGTAGTTCATTGATTGATGAGTTGTTTCCATTAGTGGTGTGCAAATTATTAGCACTACTCAAAATATTTTTATCTTTAAGGTAATTGCTGGGAGAATTGGCGAACAGATTGCTGCTAGATGTGACAGAATTGACAACAGTGGTGTTCCCCAGAGTTGAAATATTATTTCTAGGGGGTAACTTAGGTGGCTGGCCATAGTTTATACCCCTGGCGACTGTTGCTGGAGATCCTGGTGCAGACAAATTTGATGTTTTTGTGGTTTGATTGAATCTTTCGATGATGTTAGCTATAGAGTTGCCATTTTCTGGATTTGAGGATGTAACAACTGACTGGGCAAGACTGTTGATAAGATTTGCATCGGAGCGGCTGGTGTCCAGTGGAGATGGTTTTGAATCCGTGTGTGCTTGAATCACAGATACGACGTCATCCTGCTCGTCGTTTTCTTCGGGGGATGTGTCACTTGTTGGAGAAGCGACTACGACTGGTCCAGATGTCTGGCGAAAACCGACCGGCTTTGCTGGCAATGGAGGAGGCTGCTGAGGGAGTAAGCATTTTGAGGGCCGGACTGGATGTCCCACTGAGTCCCGAACTGTCTGAAACAAAAGTTCGTGCCTGAATAACTGCAAAATAAGAATCTTCCGGGCTCATGGAATCAGGGAATGATGATAAAGTCATTCAGAAAAGGACAGAGGTATTTTCCTATGTTTTGACAATAGTTCCCCTTTTGAATGCTGCAGTGCGGCTATATTTCCATAAGAAAACAAGTGTAGGAAGATGCTCAAAACTTCCGTTCTCAGTCCCAATTTTCTCAAAATTGGCACACAATAAATTCTACTTCTGAAGCTAATTGTGCTCATGAGGTTGTAATGAACACTGTGAAAAAACTAAAATAATAGGTATATAAGGTGCTGAAATGTATGATTCCCTTTTAAAAAAATTAATGAAAAGGAGATAATGAAAAAATGAATATATACATATTAATCGTTAAATTATATGTTGACACAAAGCATTTGGATCTAACAGGAAATGGAGCCAATTCTATTTAGCAGCTGAAGCATAAAAAGTTATAAATATTACAACGCAGGAGGGGATTAAATTAAGAGATTTTGCTTCTCTCAGTTTCCAATGCTTCTGAATTACCTACATTTTAACCATTGAAACAAAATATAAATAATGATCAAAATCATATACGATCATTATGTTTATATATTGCATGAAAGTAAATTAATGGAAAAAAGCCTTCTTTTTGTCATAATGATTGATTAAATTCCCATTCTTGCATGCATTGCGTCACACTCATAAAGTTGAAAGAGAGATAAGCAAAAAAATTATTAGATTTGCTGCTAATTTTACATTCTGAAAAATATACATTCTTTAGAAAACCAATTGGAATTTGTGAACATTATCCTCAATAATGATCTGATGAAAACTCATGTTTCAAAGTGCGGTGTTTGCATTCACAGAACAATAATCAGATTAACTGTGAGCATTCTCTCCTAATTGGAGAGACTGAAATTCTGACAGCTCCTTAGCAAAAAAAGGCAAATCATTAATTAAGAAAACGAACAAACCTAACAAGTACCTATGTATGAAAAGGCTTTTCTAAAGAGAAATCTTGATGACGGAGAAATCTTAGGGGGTTCCTTAAAAACATAAGCTCCATTAATGGATCATCATGACACGTCATGCAGATAAAAAAGTCATGATCCTCGTGAGAAATATTTTCTCAGGTAGGATTTCCGTAAAATATCTTCATCACGTCTGGCTTAAAATTTATTAAGCCGTCCTTCAACTCTGAATTCATTCTCAATGACTTGTTCACTTTCAAACACAAAAGCTAACAACTACATCTAAGTGAATCTAGTTTTTTCCCAATTAGCATGGCAAAACTCACAAAAGGTTCAAGTCCACCAGGGTAAGTGACTTGTGAAGCCACTGTGCAACAGTTTCAGAGAAGGATAATTCTGATATTTTATAGTACTGTAGATATATAAATATAATTGCACAAGCAAATTGACGGTGAAATTGCAAAGTAGAGTCTCTCTATTGCGAAGTTTCAAAATCTCCGTTCCTATTTTCTTTTTTTAAAAACCAACAGCATGACTTGAAATTTTCACAGAATGTTTCTCCTATGGAGAGGAAAAATCGCCGAAGTTTGAATGAAATGGACATACGTCCATTAAGACTTAAAGACTTTCTGTCCTGTCAATAGAACTAAGCGCCAAATTGCGTTCCTTTTAAGGATTTTAGAATCCCGGAAAGCGCGTTCTGTCAAACAGAACTAGGCACCATGGAAAAGCACTGCGAGTATAGGACAGAACAACCATTGAGTTCCGCAACACCCGCCCAATACGTCCAAATGATGTTGAGTAGTTTTCCACGTAGAAAATGAAGTATGATACATTCAAGTATTGAAAGCATTTGCCTCATTTTTAGTGCACTTTCAGGGAACTCACTTTGCCCCCTTGAATAGCCATGCACCGTAGCACAGCACAGTACCCTGTGGATTCTTGACCCTGCAAGCTAGAAAATTGTACTACCTTTTGGAAATAGGAACTACAATTTGTGGCTCATTCTAGAAACAACATATGGATATATTTCTGCCAAACGAAACTATGTGCATTATGAAGTGAGCCCTGTTATGCATAAATTCTCATGGGTCTCAGGGCTTATGCCTTGATGCACATAGTTCCATTAAGCAGAAATACGTTCATATGTGCCATTAGTCTCTCTTGTAGTTCCTCATTGCAAAAAGAAGTCAAATTCTGGTCCTAACCATGCAGTGCTAACTGGGTTAAGATTATCACATGACCATGCAACTGCATTCCTGCAAAATCGATTTACAAAACTGGATAAACGTAAGGACCGTCGAATTAATGAACAAATAAAATTGTAGATAAACTATCGTAATGTATTGCCTTCAAATTTTTTAACTACACCTTAACTGAAAGAGGAAAAATTGTACTCAAAACTTCAAAATTAAATGGTTACAGGTGTACGAAATGCAAAAAAAAATGAAATAAATCAAGCCAAAAATAAACCATTCATCCTCTAGATTCGATGATACAACCTGTTAACACCCTTTCATAAAAAAATATAAGACTCTCTTCCCAAATTATTTCTCTTGTCTTGTGAGAAATGTAATCAAAGAATTTGGTTCTGTTACTTGCTTCTATTTTACACTTTTTGAAATCGAAATTTGCAGCCACTCAAGAAAAAATAAGAGGAAAATGAAAATTGCTTCTTTTGGAAAAAAAAGAGGAAAAAAAATAATTCACCTTTCATACCTACTTCAGGAATTAAAAACCACTTGTAGTTGATTATAGGATGTTGGAATAGTGAGTAAAATGGTGTTATATCCTGTTTGAAAAATAAATATGACTAATAAAATTAAGATTAGAAAAAAGCACTTTAAACTAAAAATGTTTCTGGATAAATTTTCATCTAACACATCACAGAGAAAGATTTCAAAATTGCCTAATATTCCTAACTTTCCTACGGATTCTAGTACGCAAGTACAATTCGTCGTTCTTCTGACGTAAGAGCGAAAATTCATAGAGGGATGAGCCCAATTGTCCATTTCATTATATGCTTTCCAGGGCTCTCTTGAGAATTAGTTACTTGCTTCCGTCAGAGAAGCGGCAAATTAACCTGAGTAAAGAAAATGCGCATAATAATTTCCTAGACCTAGATCTGTGCCAAATGAGGTAAATGGTTGCATCATGCATCTGTGCACAACTATACTCTGAACTTCCGCTAGGTTATCATAAGCTGGTGAATAGGTATTTTCAGTCACGTTGCTGGTTAGTCTGCGACCGCAGACCTTACCTACATTGTCCTTCAAAAAAGGTTATCAGTCCTCTAACTGAGTAATGTTCGCCCCCAAGAAAAAAGAGAGTGGACAAACTGTCTTGGGTAGGTCGCAAGTAAACGCTCTGTAATTGGAAAATGAGAGAAGTCAAGTGATGGCTCCTACGCTGTCAAATACTTAATTGGAGTCAAGAAAAGAAACACATATTAACAATAGCTAATGACTAACTTGGACCCCCAACTACTCCTTCCGCAGTGACTTTTCAAAAATAATTATGCAACGCTGCATAAATAAATCAAGAAAAGCTAGGGCTGCTAAGACATTCTCCCTTCAAGTATTTTCATTTAAAAAAAAAGGGGGATTTTAAGGTAAAAAAGAGAGTAACGAAAAAGAAAAAAGATTGACCGTATATTCTTTGAGAATGAAGACAATAAAAAATTGTAAGCCATTGACTTTCAGAAATGTAGATTATTTTTAGGTAGATTTCCAGGAGGTGGAAGAGATTTTGGAAGGTGAGAAAAATGCTGAAAGAAGATTATAACATGAAAATGCACAAAAAAGAAATTCAAAAAGGGTAAGGAGCTGTTTTCAATGAGAAACTATATTGTTAAAGTTCGAACTTCCATAAAACTGAACAGGTACCGATGTTTATTAATAGACTGGAAGGGGCTAAAATAGTATTGGGGAAAATATGAACAATTAATATGATTTTCCCGAGAATATTTGGACTCACGATGAAATAGCGTTTACTTCTATCTGGCAACAAACAATAACACAAAACACGACAAACAGACAATTAGGACAAAATTACTGTGGGTGTTTAAAATTACAGACAAGTTTATAAATCATTGTTTTGAATGATGGCTCCTGACCTAGATTTAGTTTGATTTGAAGTTTTCGGTCAAATGAAATTTCATGAAATCGAATTAAACATGCTCTAAGTTTCTAGAAAAATCTGATTAAAAGATATATTTTTAAAGGAAGAGCTTTGAAACTGCAGGACTTTTTGGATACATCGATACAAGAGTTAAAAAGCATGTTTTTGACACAAAGATTTTTTTAATTTTTCAGAGAGATTTTACTTCAACTGCTTTCGTGCTCATCTACATATTTGCCAACATTTTTTAGGGATTCAAAAAAAACAGAGCAGTGGAGAGAGATAAAAATTATACATAGGTCAGAAGCCACCGTTGCTGGAGGCAAACACAAGATACTGAAAGACACATTACCTGATTTATTCGGCCAAATGTCCAGCAAATATCGAAGAACACTGATTGGCTGCATAAAGTCCATGGGGTCTGTTGCTGATTCACTGTGTAAAATCAAAACAGGTGCGAGACAAGAAGCAACACTGCCTGAGCACATTTTGTTTCGACCAGATGCGCCGACTACCATTGCTAAATGATCTAGTAGGAATACTAACGTAGCCTGAAAATTTTTTGAAGAGGAATTATAATAAAATTGAAAATTAAAAAGGTGCTTATCATGATACATTTCTTAAAATAAGCTAAAAATTAGTTTTAATAAGAAATTGACAACACAACAGAGAATGGAATCCGAATTGACGGGTGAGAAAAGTTTCAAAGGCAAAAAGATGGGGAGGAAATGATAGAGAGATTCTTAAAGATTGGTGAAATCATTGCTACACAAGTACACATCACTGATTTAAGTTAGGAATTTGCATTGCCATTGGTGGTTTTCCTCACATTTATTCATGTTTCGTGTTTCGTGTTTCATGCGTGGGGTATTCAAATAAATTTTTGTGGGTATAATATACTCTTTTGGAAACAGTCAAAAAGCAAACAGCCAAATTCAAACAAAAATATTTTGTGAGTTTTGCATGTACCTTAAAGTTTGTCTGAATCATCGTTTGTCTTTTGCACTTTGTACTTTTTGCGGATGCAAATCATTGCAATCCCTTGTAGGTTTGAGAAAAGTGTCCATTTTATAATACAATGAACAAGGCCCCCTTAGGGCCGATTTTATCTCTCTGTGTCAGGACGGCGCTAATTCCGGTGTCAGGTAACACCCGTTTTAGCTTGACACGGACGCTGACACCAAGACCGATTTTAACTCCCCGAATTCAGCCTGTGTCACAGGACACGCTCTCGCTAAAGACCTTCCTGCGTAAATTCGAGGTTTCNGCGGAAACTTCAGATTCGGATTCAGCGACCCAAAGAACATAAAGTAAGCCAAAAAAATCGCTGTGTACCCAAAATTCCAGGTAGCCTCATTTTTAGCTACCAGGCGCCTGGACTATTAGTGGTTTTCCTCACATTTATTCATGTTTCGTGTTTCATGCGTGGGGTATTCAAATAAATTTTTGTGGGTATAACATACTCTTTTGGAAACAGTCAAAAAGCCAACAGCCAAATTCAAACAAAAATATTTTGTGAGTTTTGCATGTACCTTAAAGTTTGTCTGAATCATCGTTTGTCTTTCGCACTTTGTACTTTTGGCGGATGCAAATCATTGCAATCCCTTGTAGGTTTGCGAAAAGTGTCCATTTTATAATACAATGAACAAGGCCCCCTTAATTCTCTCTAAATCACAAAGTAAACCATATGAGGCTACTTAAGGAAAGGAACTTTTTAAAGAGCAACTTTTCATACGGCCGAAAAACCCATCGCTAAAAAGGAAATTTCAAGATGATGAGATTTGAGAAGTGTTACGTACTTTGTTGATTCTTGGCAAACAATCTAAAATGGAGAACATTAGCTTCGCATTGCCCTCTGGATCATCCGGCAGACATACTGTCAAGGCATCAACCATCATTTGATACAAGCATTTCGTGAATAGTGGCTCAGGTAACTCCCGTAAATAATCTTTGAGAACACCTGAAAGCAAAAGAAGAGAGGATACTATATAGTTAGAAGCAGTGATTAAAATTTCTTGAAAGATAATAATTTACAGTAAGAAAACCTTTTGAGAAGATGTAAAGGTAAGATGATGTACCTTTTGATACTTCATATTTCATCGCAAATAAAATTACTAAGATTATTTCGGAGCTAACCTGGAGTTTTACAAATTAATCACCAAAGCAGGTGGGTCCTTGGATGAGAAGTTAGCGCAAATTAGCATCATGATTTTCGAGAATTAATGAGAGATATTTAGAGACCACAAGTAATGATAAATGATCAAAGGAGATAAATACCAGTGATAACATTGATGTCCGGAACATGATCAGGAGACAAATCGACTATCCTTGCATTTCTTTCAAACGCCTCTCTTAATATCCTTTTCTTTGTAGCTGAGCCACATAATCGGTACAGGCCTGAAAAACAAGCGCAAGAGTAAGAGCAGTTTTTTTATAGCATACCTTTGAGACTTTACAGATTTGAAAAAAAGAATAACTTTCAAAGGAATAAGCAACAAGCTTGAAGAAAATATTCTTTTTGAACTCTCTCATCTATCTCATTCTTATGTGTATTTCATCATGGTTTTTTTTAGGGGGGCGGAACGGAAAACAGCGTTCCCTCTTCTTTTCACCGCAACTTAGTTGTGCCCTTAAAAAGGTTCTTTCAGCAGTAACGGTTTGTGCTTTATCATTCCATTACAATGCAGATAACCCAAGAGAGCAACATTAGTAGAGTAAAGGAGGGGTTGCGATTTGGGCCGAAATCAACTCCGACACGGAATTGAGAAATTTTTGGATACTTGGCAGTTAATGGTGCATATTTGACAGAAATAATCGAGTTTTGCCGATACTCACGTTTTTTGGTTGCAAAACAGGGGTCTAAACGTGGCTCCGGAAAATAGCTGAAATTTCGCATTTTCGTGGTTCTACCTAAGATTTCGACCTGGGCTTAAAAGTGACGAGTGATCATATTCAAGTATGTTACTTGTCTAGGTGTCCTTGACACCATATTCGAAGCTTATCACCCGTCACCTTTGGGCCCAGATCAAAATCTTTGGTAAAACCACGAAAAACGCAAAATTTCAGCTATTTTTGGCTCCGGAGCCACGTTTAGGCCCCTGTTTCGCAGCCAAAAAACGTGAGCTTCGGCATAATTCGATTATTACTGTCAAATATGCACCGTCAACTGCCAAATATCCAAAAATTTCTCAATTCCGTGGAGGGGCCGATATCCGCCCAACTCGCAACCCCTCCTTTTTGTTGAATTTAATTTTTTTTGTGGTAAATTTGACATATTTTTTTATTTCTCACCCTTGGGATATCCCTACATATATTCCCCATGAATCTGATTTTTCAAATCACCCTCAAAAAATGAGAGGTAAATTGAACCACTTATTTCGAAAAGGTGCTAAGTTGAATTTTTTTAAAGAGTAGGCAACTTTTTGAAATAGATGCTTCAATTGCACTTCAAGTTTATATTTTATGTCCGATAAGCCACAAAAACCTGATTTATGGGGGAATTCTGCTGTAAACTTAACTTCATGACTATCACTTTACAATTATTACGGCAAAACTCTCTTGGGTGCGACTTTAAGACTTACATTCTCTTGAAAGCATTTTGCTACCATCTCACGGGTACCATCTTACGGGTAGCTTGGTTGAGCAGTGAATAACTTGACTTACCAATAATGTCTAAACCTCTTCTTTCTACTTCTTCAACACAACGCCTAACAATAATTGGAATAGAGCCTCCTTCTCTGGCAACAGTAGCCTCTAGATCTCCACCAAACAGGCCTGTAAATTTGGAAAAAAAAAAAACAAACAAAAAAAACAGGGGATTAGATCAAAGTTAACTGCATGAACAAGACTTTAATGTCTTAAAAATAACAAGATGCAGGCTTACCTATCATTGTTTCAACTTGAATTCATTTTTTTATATAAAAGGCACCACGGAATTCACACTGTTGCCAGTTTTAGCTATAAAACCCAACCTTTTTTATAAAAAGTTTAATTCTATCGGTAAAATTAATAATTATAAAAAAATTATTTTAACAATAAAAACAACAGAAAAAGGATTAGTACTTAGTCCATTTATAATTCGCATGAAATTATTTAATATTAGAAATATGTTGATGATAATTTATAAATGTATATTGATGAGTAGATCTCAAAAGTAAAAATAAACCTTAGAAAGTAGGAGATAAAAAATTTGAGACTCATTCTTCAAAGATGGTGATATTAGAAAAATTCTTCCAATTTTTTTTATCTTCAAAAGTGCCTGTTGCTGATAAATAACATAGCCTATGTGATCAATGATTGGGATGGCAGAATTGGCAGCAAACGTTTAGTACTGGAATTACCTGTTGCGCTGCGAGATTGCCTCAGGAATGTACGATATGGACTGGTGTGACGTAACCGAAGGTACAGAGTTCCTCTGGGCTCAATTTTCAAAGCTAGCTGATGGATAGGTGAATCCCTTAAGAGAGACGCTAGGTGAACAGATCCCTAAAGAAAAAATTGCATCTTGTCAAAAAAACCGGAGAGATGAAAGAGTAAGCAAAAAACTGCTCCTGCAGATTAAGAACATTTGAAATCGCAAGCGGACAAAAGAAATTATTGAGAATTGGTCACAGTTTTTTTTAAAGTAGAAAAAGTTCCATAGAGATAGAGAAGCTGAATGGGCTGATTCGATCCAGCAATCACACCACTGTACAGCTCAGATGCAAGCAAAGCCAATACTCCACCGTTACACTTATGGTTCAAGAACACAGTTTAGACCTAAGGTTTTAACACTATTACAAGTCAACAACTTCTCCAAAGATAAATTCAGGTTTCAAAAGGTTAACTAGAGCTGAAATGCTAAAAAAATTGAAAAAAAGCAGACATATACTTTTTTTCTGCTGAAACGGTAACTGAATTTGTCATTGTTACATCACTAGCTTTCTAGAAAGCTCAATTTTTTACAGAGCGAAAACATTACTTACTTTGTAACATAGTTTGTGCCTATATTGAGGGTCCCAAGAGTATATTAGGAAGTCAAGTTGTTTATTCCCGACTAGATCTAGTTCAAAAGTTTCATCCCAGTCAAAAACTAGATCACCCGTTCGCACTACTGTTCGTGCTTTGTGCACCCTATCACATTCTAGTACGCAATACAAATCACGATTGCCTGAAACACAAAATCATTTTTAAGAGAATACAATCGGCACTCCCATCAAAATAAAAACTAAAGCTTGGAAAATGAAACCAAATTAGTTATAAATAGTGACTGATTTTTGCACACAACAAATGCCAGAGCCATACGTCTTTATAACAAAAGAAACTTATGGGATAAATGTCCCGCATTATACGTAAAAAGTCAAAAGGGCAACTTCAATCAACATTCTCGTTGCTGGAAATGACTTCAGTTACCAGTGCTGACAAAGATAAAAATCTCATGAGTGATCAGACCACATGAAATGAAAGCGATTTTCTAAGCTTCGAGTTACTGGGCCAGTGATCAAATTTTATTCATAATTTTGTTACTCAAAAAGTGATTTTGTTATTAATCATTTATTTAAGTCATTCTGGACTTCCAATGGTTTCGTAGTTGAGAAGTATCTTCGAATGACAAACCTGTTGTTTGAGAGGGAGATGGATTTCTCAGGCCTCGTCCGGCGAGTAAGTGTACCCATAAAAGTCCACTGGCTCCTACTGGCTCAGGACCATTCCATTTTTCCATTTTATACTTAAGAAACTCTGAAAGAAAAAGTAAAAGAATTTTGAAATGTATTGTTTAACCAACCAACAAAAAAAAATTTACAAACCTTCACAAAAGAGCATTGGTCAGTTCAGCCAGTTTTATTAACTCCATTCTTTAAAAAGACCGATGAACTGAGTTCATATTAGGTTTGCTTTCATCATAACACTTAAGGAGAAAGATGCATTCAATAATGCGAAAAAATGAGGCAGCTTAACTGTGCGCTTGCCTATGGCGAAACATGTGAAAACTGAACTTATCATGTCAAAAAATGTGCTACTGATCCAGACTGGATGAAAAACAAGAAGCACCCCCCCCCCCCCCCCCCNAAAAGATTTTAGGTTGCACTACAGTGATGTAATTATCGATACGCTCATAACGATATACTCACCCGCAGGATTAATTTCCATAATTTTGGCACGGTCTGCTTGGTGTTTGGCTTCTAGTTCTAACAGATGCCTCATTCTTCTCAGTGACGTTGTTCGATTTGCTAACGTGTGGCGGTCGAGGGTTGAGCTTGTTAGGCCAGACAATCCAGTGAGAGCAGATAGCCCACTCGATCGATACGATGCTAGCAGTTCCGACTGAAACATGATAGATTTTTTGTGAAACTCGGCTGGTCTCACGACGTGACAAATTTGTACAGGGTGATTCAAATGTCCTACACCATTCCTACAACCCCTAGGGTTCTTGCCCCTTTCCAGGGTGATTATCTTAGAATTTTCGGGGAGCAAAAAATAGTTTCCTTTGATCTGGGAGCACGCGCAAAATTTTAAGTCTCTATCTTAATTAGACCAAAAGTTACAGGGTTGATGCCTGGTGCTGATGGAGCAGGACTTTTGGATCACCTTGTATGTAAGCAAAAACGTGTGGAGGGTTACGTTCCTAACAGCACGTAGCACAGCCACTAATTTATTTACAGATAACAACTTTCATTTTGGCACAAAAGTAGCAACAGTTAGAGGAAAATCAAGGCTTTTCTAAAAAATAAGATTTCTCTTTGATACATACTTTTGTTAAAATCTTGAGAATCCTGAAAATATCTGAATATAAACAGGATTGCAAAGAGGATGCCTAATTAAGTGCGGTAGTTAAGTTTGACAGTTGAAAAGATCTGAGGAAATCTCGAGGGCAACGAGGGCAACTTTTGGCAAAGATCTGATGGAATGAGTCAATTTTTCACCTATTAAATTTGATTTAATTTACTATACCTGTCTTGTCCGTTCAGGCAGATTTTCAGCACTAAAAGTGAACCTTTGAGCTTTTTGTTGACCTGCTCTGAGTCTATCGTAAATGGCACTAGTGGATGGAGTCCGCGACAACCATGCCCTATATTCATCAGATGTAAAGACACTGGGTGTAGAAGAAAGACGACCTGGAAATCAAACAATAGATGAGCTTAAAAATATAAATAAACAATATGCTTTGAAACTTAGTTGCAAAACATTAAACTGAGATACGTTGAGACACTTAACTAACACAGCCATGAGTAAACCACTGAATGCCATTTATGGGACAAAACATTTAGTTTAACAACAAATGAAATTAAAAGCATAATGAGGCTGAAGTGTGACACCACATATCTTCAATGCCATGTTTCAAAATCTCTGCTCCTGATTTATTTTACCGAAGAAGAACAAGTCAATTTTACAGCTTGTTCACGAAGAATATTCTACTAAAAGAGAGAAAAAATCAAAGAAGTTTTTGAGAAATTATGTTGACCAGTTTTCCAAGGAGAGAATAAAGTACGACTGGAAGTCTACAACGTCGCAAACGGAGATACGCTCTTGCAATTTAAGCCATTGATATAAAAAATAAGAGGGGTTAAATAAATTTACATACACAGTGAATACAAAAACTCGGATTGTGTGACAGGATTGCCAGGTTTCAGACATGTTGTATCTCTTTTGTAAAAAGTTACCTTGATTTTAAAAATTTTCTTGTCGATTCCTATTTTTTCAAGGGTTTTCACTGAAAAATCGCTGACTTTTCTACGGCTTTTTAAGAACGTTCAGCAAGACAATGCTTCTCATAAAGTAGAAGTAAAGCAAAGTGTTTGCTCTGCCACCGCTCTAATAATCATCATGGATATTTGGCTTCAGCCTTCCTGAAAACGTACTTTGATATGGAAAACCATTTTACCAACCTCTATGTTTCCTTGCTATTGGCAATTCTGGTGCACTTAGCGCTCCATCACTGTCACCTTCATCCAGTAAATTATTTCTCTCGAACCTAACACTGAGAGGTGTTCTGCCACTATAATGAAAAAAAGAATAATGAATCGTTATACAAGCAGAGATATTATTTGATCCGTCTATTCCAAGCAAAAAAAGCCACAGAACATTTTTTTTGGTACACATTCGATCAATAATTTATATAAAAAAATAAAATAACTTTAAATTGTCTAAATAATTTTTTGGCACAATTTTGAAAGCTCTAAACACAAAGCCGGAAAACAAAGATGTAAAATCTTATGATTTAGAAGGAAGTATGAGGGGTGTTGTGTAGGAATATTCAACCCTTATTTTCAACTCTTTTAAGTGGTAAAATACACATCGATCTTGTAATGAGATATTTTTAGGTGACAATAATGGAATCGGTTCCTACTAGATAGGCGTAAATCCAAAAACTCAGGAGCCCTGGTTTTTGTTGATCACGTAAGACACTGGAGAATTTTTGGACTTATGCCTGTCTCACAGAAACCAATTCAATTATTGATTAAGAGGCTACACCCAACCGTTTAATTTTAAATTCCGAAGAGTTACTTGAGTGAAGATTGCTCCAAATAAGATAAAATATGAGACACAAATGATCTTGGTGATTTTAAAATAGTTAAAAAAGAGGTACATAAGTGGATGATAAACCTACCTGGATTGAGATGTGAGGGAGTGCCTAGGAAGTGAGTTTGATCGAAATGAAACCCCTCTTGTCAGGCCTGAAAAAAGTTGATTAATGATTCAATCATTTTAATTTAGTCCGGTATTTAGAATTCAATCAACGCTAAAACATTAAACAAAACCAGTATAACTCCCGATCACTTTCTGTGATGTACACATCTCTCACAAGTCTGTGTGTTGGGTACACATCTCTAATGTAGGAAGTGGCTTGCTACAAAAATTCTTATGGTCAAAGTTACTGATGAGAAAAAAATGAATAAATAAATTAATTTTAATCGACAATCATTCAATCATTTAATACCATTTTTTATCTAAAGTTAAAAAAAAATGACCAACCAAATATAATAAAGGATGTAAGTCTGAGCGATAAAAATATTGTCATCAATCACAGGTAGTGAGCGTATGTATCAAGGACACAAGACGGGTAGAACAATTGGCTTTTCCTAACTTTTTTGCATTCTACACCGGCTGGTTTGGGGCTAAGAAGCAAATTGCAATGTTTATGTTACAGCCCTTAACCGGCAAGTGTGAGACACTGAATAGTTAGGTACATAATTTCAACTCACCTACCCATTTTGTGTCTCCGATAATAATCGTTTATTCCATGATCGATTTATCAATTTGCAATATATGCAATAAATGTGCTCAAATGAATCTTGGTTGGCAAGTTATTTACATACTATGTTTCAAAATATCAAAATAATCTAATGAGGCTGCTATTGTCCAGAAAAAGCCGGCTCAAAACCTGCGTTTCTGCATATCTGAAAAAATCTGAGGGCCGATCTCTTTTTGCTTAAGTATTAGGGGCCTCATTGTTAGATAATGCTGCAGTCACTTGCTGAATGTGGCTTGAATGTGGAAGTCATCGGCCCTGAATTTTGCTCATGATGCGCAAAATTCAGCAACTATTCTTGGCGACCATCGAATAATGCCGGATTTTTCTGAACCATACGAATAGATTTGATACATCTGGATGAAAATAACTCGAATTCACAAAATTTCAGCTGCTAGGCGATGACTGATGACTTTCATATTCAACTGCCAAATTCAGCGTTATGATTTTGACATAATATTGGGTAAAATGCCATTTGCAGGGACTTCGGCAGCCTGATAAATGCAAGAGAAAAAAAACTGATCTTATGGTGAAATTTTTCTCCTTACTTGAAACAGGAGGAGAGGGTCGGCAGTAATAATAACTAGCTCTTGATGATGAGGAACAAGTTGCCTCTGTATCAGAGGCGTAATCTAATGCAGGTCGCTGTCTCCGTGGTAACAAAGTTGAGGAAGGTGATGCGTTGTACTGGTCTCGGCTTCTTGAATAACTGCCACCCATTCCTGTACTTGCTCTAAGGCTCGATCTCAGTAAACTCCCAGAGTGCCTTGCTGGTAATCCATTGCCATAGTCATATTCAACTCGAGGTAAATGCTGGTCAGAGCCTGAGCGTGGCATGGAAGGACCTCGGTTGCTAAGGCGACTACTACTTCTACCGGTTGTTGCGTAGCGACTAGAACCAGCCCCGTAACTTGAGCCGGGTCCATTTCCAGGATTGAAGGGATGAACCTGGAAAATGAAATTTAATTCAATTCAAGAAGATAAACTTCACAAGTTATTTCGAATTCCAAACAAGAAAACTACAATGGATTATGAATAGCTGGACAAGTATACTCCTGGGTAATAAATTTAAACTTGCCACTCGCAAAATAACTGAGTCACCAGTAGGTAAAGTCAGATACTGGAAACTTTTAAACATTTGGCAAGTAAGTGGAGTTCAGTTTCATGGGGTTTTTACTCTTCTGCGGTACCCATTTTCCAACTTGTAAACCAAATTTTAGGACTCAGAAAGGAATATTCCACTGAGGAAAAAGCCAAAATTAATTAAGTGACTGACTGAACTCAAGCAGACTTTAGTTTTTTTATTGACTGGATATTTAAATTACGAAAAACATAAATCACTAATTTTTTATACTTACTTATTAAAATTGGAAAATTGAAAAATATTGGAGATTTTGATGAGAAAACATGGACAAAGCACAATAACACAAAAATGCTTAATGCTCTCTTCTAACACCCCCCCCCCCTCTTAAGGAGGGTAAACGTAGTTCATGATCAGTCTGATCCCTCGGTCTGATTAATGATTTTTCATTGTTTACAAAAATAAATAATGTAAATAAATGGACAGGTTTGTGAAATAAAATGAATGAACTACTTTGGCGAAACAGCTCAAGGAATCTAGGTCTTACTTTTTCTGCTAAGGACTCCAAGGTGTTGGGGTAGGATTTATCAAAGGGTTGGAAATGCTGCGGTTTTGGTTGCTGAGTTACGACTGGTGGAGGTGGCGGCTGATATGACCATGATTTGTTGTCTGAATTACCCATTCTTCTATCCAACTGTAATTAAATAAAATGGATATTACGAATTTTTGCTTTTAGGCAATTCCTATGATTTTTGTGACCACTTTATTTCTTTGGGAATTAGAAAAAACGCAATTGGAAAAACTCAGGAAAACTCCTGTGAACTGAGGTTTTTTTCTACTTTTGAAAAAAAATTTAATTTAAAATTACTGAACAAGCTAGTTCTTGAATGTTTTACAAAAATCATCAAGGTTGAAAACCATCATAATTTTACTTTTATATGACTTGTGACTATTCCACACTACATGGACTACAGTAGCAAAGCACAGACAAATTTATACGCTTCGAAAACTACTTTTTGATGAGATGATGATGTTAGTCAGGATAATTTAAGATGACCATTAATAAAAGGTTTTACTTTAGTATGTATGAATATTACTTACAGTGGCAGCATGAGGTCGAGAATTATAGTATAAAGCACCTGACCCTATGTCACCATTTGTATCTAACGAGCCAAGCGCTAAATGAGATCTAGACTGTCCCACTCGGCCCCTGATTTTTGATTCTCTGAAAACAGGGGGAAAATTTTTTTGACGGATTAATTAAGAACAGTAGGATACAAGTCTTTGACTGGAGCTTCAGAGAACAAAATTATCTGCACAGCACGTTACTTTGTCTCAAGTAACTGGGAGGGAAACTGAATAATAGCTTCACTAATTTCTGTAAATTTTACTGGATACTTTTCATAGGATTGCTTGTTGATTGTTGATAATAAAAAATGAATCGGAGAAAATAAATAGAGATGATGAAAAGCATAAAAAGAGTGGGCCTTGATATCACTAAAAACCATTTTGCATTGACATTTATGCTTATCCGGCTGTCAAATTAGAGAAATAATTAAAATGAATGTTAAAAGCAGAACTCATTGTGGGTAAGCAGACACTTTTTCACTTTTGACTATCAAGCACAGTAGACGGTTTAATGCATCTACGCAAGGCAGCATTTTTCCCTTTGGTCAAACCTTGATCGTCTGGACAGCAACAATTTTTTCACATACAAATGGAAAGTAAACATCAACCTTAGGCATAATCCACCTTCTAGATGCGGAAATGCTATTTTGAAATCTATGATCGATTTTAAGGAGCGAACTAATTTGCATCAATTACACAAATGTGTTTTCAGTAAATTGACATTCTGAACAGCCAATTTCTCTTTGAAAATCGATTGGTGCCCCTGGAAGGAGCAAAAAACTAATGGTTACCTAATCAATTAAATAATAAATGAATTAATTATTCGTAATTATATCAATGGGTACCTACCTATTTAAATCAGCAAATCGATGATTATTTTCTTCATCTTCCTCATCGTCTTGATCTTCTTCCCTAGTTAGAGACTTCTTGATCACAACAACGGGTGGAACTTTAAGTTCTAAAGCACGAGGTTGAGAGGGCGTTCCTTGTGCTTGCCTGAGGCCTTTGACTTGTCTTGTAGCAAGAACAAGCCGACGAGGAATTGACATTATAATTACAACATCGTCTAAACTCATTCTTGTTACATCGACTAAATTAACGGCTAAGATTTCATCACCAACCTGAAAAATATAGCAAAGTATTCACACATTATATGAAGTACATGAAAAGTAAAATAAATAAAATTGTAGAGGATCTAACTCAATTAAAGGTATCATTAGTGTAAGTAACGATTGATCAAATGAAAAAAATTGAGGATATGTGCAAAATTTCTTCCAATTTAAATTTTCACATTTATTATTCTACTGCTGTCCATTTTCCCCACCAATTGATTTTAAAAAACTCCCTGGTCGTTTTTCTTCTAATAAAAGCTTTTTATCTAAAAATGTATTTGCAGCCATTTTTTTTTCTAATAAAAGCTATTTATCTAAACATGTATTTGCAGCATTGGCTTTTTTAACGTTTGCTACTGACTTTGAAACATTTTTCTGAATTTAAACAGATGTACTTTCATCTCTTGTGTTTCGTCTCTTTGTCGGATGTTTTCTTTTGATCTTTAAACCACAGAGTTGATTAAATCTGAATGTTTTTAAAATTAAAGCTGTTGATTTGAAAATGCATTGCCAGCATTACTCATCTTTCAATTCTTGCGACTGACTTTGAAAAATGTCCTTTGATTCAATTCAGAATATACTTTTAACTCTATGATCTGATACTTCGATCTACTCTCCCACATCTTTTTTTCATGATTGGATATACATACGTAAACGGTGAAAAATAATAGAGAAAAATTTGACTTGTACGCATCAAGACAGAGGTCACTTGTGAACAAGAGAAGGAGTCCCTTGGGTAGCTGCTTAGATAGATCACAGCCAGCTGAAGAAGTTAGTTTTTTTCATAAAACCTCTAGACAGGAGAATACAATTGCACTTACTTTTAAGCATCCGCTGTTGTAAACTGCTGATTCTAGGGCAATTCTTGATATAAATACACCATCCGCTCGATCAACTCCATTTCCTTCCCTAATATAAAGTCCTAAAGTCTGTCCTGGTCGTTTTACAATTTCAACAAAATGTACCGAGTGTTGGGCGTCCTTAAAAAAATTGAAATAAAATAAATTTAACCATTGCTACAGTATTTAACACAAAGAGAGATTAAACTCATAAAAAAGTATTAATTTTTTTTTTTTTTTTTAACATTGTTCAAAATATTCAGATTTTTTTGAAACTCTATTTCAGGGATTGCTTGGTCATGTCTCTCTTGTAGGTATCTAAATTGTCATGAGTAGCAACTTCATTAACTTAGATTAAATCAATGTTTATACTTGCTTAATTAATTAGAATATTTTTGACTTGATGTGAGAATTATTTCATTGAGAGGTTCAAAATAACATCCAATGAACTCCAAATCTATATTAAACTATATAAATAATACATTTGCTTGTGTCTTTGAATCCATTTGAGACTGTCCTAAAAATGTGTTCTGCAATAAAAGAAAGTACTTTTAAAATAGCAATAAAAAGTGTAATTTAGGAGAGGAGAGTTCAGATTTTTAAATGAGACAAAAAGAGAAATGTCCACTCACCTGCATGGATAAAAATCTTTTGGCCAGCTCAGCAGCATTTTTCCCCATTGATCTATAATCTAACATTCTGACAACCATCTCTCCCCTCCTTTCAACGGATGCAAGAGCAGCTGCTATACTGCCATCCAATTCATTTTCAATTGTTTCAATTTGCCTAAATATTTCATTGGAGATTCCACTGACCTGCAACAAGTTAAAGTAAGGAAATTACTCCAGAAAAATGATAGAGCAAGAGTAGCCGTAGTAAAAAAAAAGTAAATCAGTTTTAAAAGCGTACTGTAGACATGATTCAACATTCATTTGTTAAATGCCTTTACTATACAAGTAACTGTGCTAGGATAGAGAAAAGGTTTTGATTCTATTGAATTCTTATTCAAAATTCAGCGACATGGTCACTGGGTTCTTCATTTTAGGAAAGTAGAGAAAATATACGCAATCATCGTACTTTCATGCTGCAGAAAAATTAAATTTTGAAATATTTTGCACAGCCCTCTCACTTTTTTAACCTTTTTTCCCCCTTCACACATCAATTTAAAAAGAAAAACAGATATTTTCTCGTTTTGCAATTGAGGTTTTAAGATCAGGCAATTTAAAAAGCATTCAGAAAAATGAAGACCAACCTTCCTAAAATCTCCTTGGACGACCATTGGTAAGGGGTCTTTAGGCCGAGGTCCCATATTGGTATTATTAATTTGAGGTTGTCGTCGCGGGCTAGTGGCCAGATCCACTTGTGTTTCTCGCCCCTGCACAAACGGAAAAAAAACAATTAGAAAAATTTATATGCTTGATACAAAGAACAAAAATTTTTGACAGGAAGCACATCAACGATGTATTTAAAAATTGTGGCACAGGAAAATAAAAGATAAAAAAAGGGAGATAAATTCATGGCTCAGGAAATTGGATTCATGAATTAAACAGGGGTCATCCATAAAACTTAGAAATATAAATCAACGGCTATCAAGGATGAGGAGAACGTACAAAAAGTATAATTAACATTGTTTCAGCATTCTCCTCTTGTTGTGCCCAAAAGAAAAGAGAGGAAAAGATCACACTTAACATAACTGTTAGCATAACTGAGTTAGACTCCATAGTAAATTTGGACTGGAAAAGTCCTTGTCTTTAATCCAAGAGAAAAGTTGATGTATGAAGATCAAGAACTTTGCAGTGCTGAAAACTAAACATAGGAATATGTTTTCTGGAGGAAAATTATGGCACAATCCCTTCTCTGCTTCCCCTTCTCAAAAACTGCTCACGTCTTAATTGACATTGGTTGAAAGAGTCAATCATGATTGGTTGAATGAGGTTTTTTTTTTAAATGTATGCTTTAGAATGACAAAATTAAGATGTATTATTGAAAACCTGTATTTGGAAATGATAACAGACACCATCAAATATTAGATGATGCTTGAAGAGTTAATAAGAAAGAAAAAGAAGCAAATTAGTGATTTAGGTTTGGGAGATTTTTTTTTAATGATTGAAGACCAGTTAAGAATTCATTTTTATGGCGTTATCACAACCACCCAGAAATTCTAAATTTGTATATGAATTCCTACCTAGCACTACTTCGGGAGAAGGGAGGGGGGGGGTTAAAAAACCTACCCTAAACTACAAAGATGAGGTTAACACTAAAAAACTAGACTAATGGGGAGGGGTGTAAGATGGAGGTGGAGGCAGAGAAAGTTCAATAGAATAAACAGATGAGTAAATGAATGATCCTGTAGTTAAATCACAGCAGAACTATTCTCATAAATACGAATTTAAAGGGGAGAGAGATGACAGAGGCTGGTGAATAGAGGAGTGATTTGATTGATGCTGATAAAGTGCAAAGGACAACGGGATAATTTCGTCCATTCTAGGGAGGACATCCATTCGAGGACAGATCCTCCGCCAACGCACTTTCAAGAAGAAGGAAAATCAACCGGGGGAGTTTTAGGATCCACACATTCCACAAACTTGCGCAACAAAAGCACTGAAGCACACCAAAGTATCGGGTCGGAAATCACCTTTCTGGTGAAAAAACACCCCGAACTGGAGCCTTTATCACACATGATAAAAAGTGGCCGAGGAATCTAATTAAACGCAACACCGAGAATAGATCATGGAGAGAGGCGGGAACTGCGAGGGGGCACTTATGCATGTAAAACAGATTCGCGGGGGTTGATATGATAAAAACTAGGTAAACGTAACAAAAATTTCATATAAAAAAAGTGAGCCTAAAAATGTTTGATTGAGGCTCGGTCCGTCTAGCCGGGGGAGTAAGCGCTGAGCGAGAACCACTCATCACCCTCGTGCGCGCGCACTTCCCCGCCCTCCCCTCCCGCGCGCGGGGCCACCGCCGCATCGCGACGCCACCCTTGAAAAAGGAGCGTCGCGGCGCCGAGGGGGGCGAGGGGAATCGGGATTACGCGTACGCTCGCTGGGGTGCTTGGGCGACGCTCCGCCGACACTCGAGGGCGCTGGCGTCGCTTCCACCCTCCGAGAGAGCCACCCCCGCGCAACCGCCGCGCCGCGCCGACCCGCCGTGGAGCGCGCCTGAAATTACTGTTGCAGTCAACTTTGACCCCTGGCTCCCGCGGGGAGGCCATTGTCTTGCCTTTGAGTCTGCCTCTCAGAGAAGCGCCCCGCACTTGAGATGAGATTCCACAGCTAAGCTCCCGTCCCAAGGAAAAACGCCGTAGGAACCTTCAGGCCTTGCCAAATTCTCTTTGATAAAAAACGAATTTCTCGGTAAACTTGTGAATATTTTCCTTTCAATTTTTCAGATAATTTTGTTCTCGATGTCACCTAGACTCCCTGAAAATTTCAAGGAAAAAACTTCATATCTTCCCTCAAAAATAAACATTTTATTGAAGGAATTTTGGCAACTCTCGAATGTTCATACGGCGTTCTTTCTTAGCACGTCAGAGCTCCTGTCCTATGGAAAACCGCCGTATCCACATTCCAGAGTTGCCGAATCTCCTCTCACAAAAGAGTAATTTTTCAAGATAGTTGTCAATATTTTCCTTTGAAATTTTCAGGCACTTTAGATCAAATTCCGTACAAAATTCTCTGTAAAATCGGAAGAAAAATATAGACACATTTTCCCGCGAATTCTTAATTCGTTGAAGGAAATTCGGCAACGTCTGAAGGCTTGTACGGAGTTTTTTCCTTGGGACGGCAGTAAGGGCTTTAAATCTAAACCAACCAAAGATACTTTTAGGCCGTGTTTGCAGTCGCTCCTTGAAAAGCTTCTTCCCTTGGGTGACCTCACGTGGTTTTCATTGCCATTACGCTGCCATGCTAAGGAAGAACGCCGTATGGACCTCCAGACGTTGCCACATTTGTTTTCAATAAAGACCTAATTTACTGGAAAAATTGTGAATGTTTTTCTTCAATTTTTTCAGACAATTTTGTCTAAAATGTCTGAAAATTTCCAAGAAAAATACGCATAATCTTTCTCAAAAACACATGTTTTCTCCGGGGCGATTTGGCAACTCTCGAATGTTCATACGACGTTTTTCCTTAGCATGGCGGTGTGGGAGGTTAAAGGATATTCGCCGGTGAAACTCTGAAACCACGTATCTCGGTTGTGGTGTTTAAAAATGTCAGTTCCTACTTTATTCTTTCAAGAAGGAACACATGAACATAATTCCTTCAAGTTTTTTGAATTCTCCTCGCAGAGGTGGAAAAAAAATCACGGAGGTTTTTAAAAATTGACGTTGAGTAGTTCTCTATTAAACAAATGCACTATGACAGAAAGTCCGCAACGTCGCAAGCCGAGATAAGTGGTTTGGGAGCTTCCCCGTCGATATTCATTTTATAATGGCATAAAAATGAAACTTCTGAACGAACCTTAAGTAAAATTCAGCAAAATAACTTCAAAAAGAAACCGTAGCAAGGGATAACGAAGAAATGCCATTTGCAAAAACAAAAACCCGGAAGTAAAAATTCCGTAATTTTTACAAACTAGTATAGGGACTAAGTGGGAATCTACCATACAATTTTAGAACTTTGACACGTGCTTTACGACTCTAACTATCGACATTTCATTGCCAGAGGTGGACAAAATTGAAGGCGCTTCGGGTATCTCCGTAGAAACGCCTGGATACAACTATTCGTGTTCGAGGGATGTCCGTGTTGCATACACAAATAAGTGGAGGCGTTTTGATCTTCTTCATCACAGTGCCTGTGCACGCCTGGCTGGAACAATTTAAGATCAAGGAATGTCCGTATGCATAAGCACTCCAAGAATTTGTAAAACTTCATGAAAATATATATATTTAAAGCCCATTTAAAATTTTACGTCGTTCTCCCGGTTCCCATTTGAAAAATTTTGTAGACTATAAGGATTCAGCAGATTTGCAACAATTTTTTTCTCCATTTAAACCCATAAAAATGTATCAATTGTTGAGGGGGCCAGGTACTCCGACAAGAATCGATTGTTTAGTATAGGTTTAGATGGAGGAAATCCTGTGTTGCCAAATTGGTGGATCCACCCCTGGCGAGGCCTCTGGAGGAGGGAAAGCTGTTTAAATAACGAATATGAGTGCGACCCAGTGGCCGTTCTAGAGCTTTTCATATAATAGGCCGCTGCTGCAAATTTAAGCGGACACTAGACGACATTCTTCCTCGATGCGAGCATAATCAGGACTCGACCGCGTATTTCGCTTACCAATTAACAGATTGACATGGATCTGAGTGAAGCACCGCCGAGTATTTTAACGCGAATCGGTCGAGAGCTTTGAAGTTCATTCATCCGGGTTCCGGGGGGGAGGGGGGAGGGGGGGTTCGGCGTGTTTGTATTGTTCGAGACGTGAAATCGAACTCTCGATTGCCGGAATGTCCGCTTAAATTTCTCCATGATCCTCCCGCGCTGCCGCACTAACTAAGACAAAACCCCGTATGAGCGTTCCGAAGTTGCCAAATCCTCGAGAAAAAATATTCCTTTCTTAGAAATGAATATATTTCCCTTGAAAGTTTCGAATACTTCACATCAATTGCGGACAGTAGCGTGGCGTGAATTGCGATGTATCGATTGTTATGCCATTTAAACCTATGGTAAAGAATCGATTATTAAGGTGTTTGCTAGGAACACCCTATTTATCGATCCTTTTCCATAGGTTTAAATGGCAGATCAATCGATGTATCGCAAAGCACGCCACGCCACTGATTGCGGACAGAATGGAGACTTCGCACGCAAATTTTTTATTGCTGCATCTGAAAGTGCCTAAAGAGCTGATTTTGCAGCATTTTTTATTATTTTTTTCTTATAAGGGAAATAGTAAAAAAATGGATTCACAAGCGAGAAAATGCACCACCTAGTGACGTCATCTACCGGCAATTCCCATTTCAACACATGCACTTTAGCAGATTAGATCATTTCGTCAAATCTTCTCCAATAATTGTTCAACTTATATGAATCGAGGATATCCTCATGTTCAGCTTACTTAGTACCGTCCACTTGAACACGGAATTCATCAAATTTCAGACACCTGCAAATTCTCCATTCCCCGAAAAATTGGGAGGAAAACTCTTACAAATGCTGCAGGAAATTCGCACTTTACTAAGGGAGATTCGGTGAGACTCGATTGCTCTTATGGTGTTTTCACTTGGGAAGTTTTCGAGGTTTGAGAGCGAAACCTGGCGTCGACGCCAGGTCCAGCTGCAATGCGAAACGGAACGCACTCGCAATCAGTAAATAAACGCAGTGCTCCCTCCTCCCCCCCTCTGCTTCTTAATCACTCAGTCACTGCTGCGTTGCGGA